GCCTCCTGCACAAGTGAAAGAGTCTGCTCCTGCAGGCTCGTGTTGGTAAACACACTGCTGCTACACAAGGGGATTGAGTCATCAACCCAAACCTCCAAGGACTTTGTACTCAGAGGAGTAACGTAGTTGTACCCAACATTAGAAAGTCTTATAATAAATTAACCAAATGATGGAGTCCAGATGGTTTCAAAAGCTAAAGATGACACTATTCCTCTTAAACACACAGGAGTTTCACAGCCATGTGAAAGTGGATGACAACAGTTGGTTGTTACTGTGGACTGTTGCCATTGACACAAGCACTAATTAGTCCCAACAGTGTACCCACATAATGACTATTATTTTTATTCTGTGTATCAGGCACATGATCACAGATCTTTGGCAAATGAATCATTTCTTCCACTAACAATTAATCACAGCACAATAAACAGCTGAGGGCTTTAAACTCATTTTTATTTTCATTTATGTTGACAAAATAAACTTATGTTAAAACTTGTTACAGTTGAGCAAATGTCATATTGCATAAAACTTCCTAGATTTTTCAAATGTTCTCTTTCCAGTAATGAAAATACAAGCTGAGCAAAACACACCTTTATAGTCAGGCGTGTAATCAGGTTTTTCTGCCATGTCCTGGGGATATCAGGAGTAACAATGGCACTGAGGCTGCGCTGAGACACGGGCCGACACACGTCGGGAGCCTTCACTCAGATTACATCACACATAGGTCTGTGCCTGTCAGGCATTAGCATTTTACATCGCCCTGAGAGGCATCTCCTGATAAGATATGACTCTGAAACAGTGCCAGTGACGCTGGTTTGAGCCTAAGCAGATGAGAGACAAGGCGTGTGCTCAATATTGTGTCAGGGTCTTAAATGCTTAACTCGGCCCATTGTCAAAACAGGCATTTATAGTCAACAAGGATAAAAATATGGGCAAATAGAAGGCCAACAACTGATTGTCAGGAAATAAAACCACAGTCAATTTAATTGTTAATCCTCTCTTCACAGACCTCTGCTGAATAACTCATAGCATATGCACTTTCTCTAAACTGTCTCTCTAAAGAACAGTTGCAGGCCCGAGCTGGTGGGGCTCAGCTGATCTACAAGTCTTTGCAGTAGCGATGTGATTTCTTGCACAATCAGAGGAAGCAGAATGTCTTTATCACAAACATGCCTGAGCAAGTTTTGCCTCTTATTGTTAATTAGAGCTGAAATATCACAATCTAATCTTAAAATAAAACATTAAATAACAATATAGTTCTTAATGAGTTTTAAAGAGTTTTAATGTGTAAATTAGAAAGGGTACATTTTTTCAGAACATTTAGGGCCAATATTAAAATCTTGGGTGTAACTGCGGTGACTCAAAGACAGGTTTTGCATCACCAATAATGAAAATAAATGCTATTGCTTTTCAGAACATCATTTGCAATATTCAAAGCTTTGTGGGAGGGGTGACATGAGATCAGCAGTGTGAAAATACAGCATGTCATAAATATAAAAGGCAGATTGGACTTGACAAACAGGTGAACAACAAAAACATAGCGAATCGACAGTGGTTGTTTGAAAGGTTATAGGAGAGGCGAGGTATTGTTCTGTAAAGTGGTTCTGCTGCTTGTCTGCAACCTATTGTGTCTTTCTGAGTCACACAGGCGGTGACGTTTAAAGAACACTGAAGTATTCAGTTAAATTAGATATTCAATATATGTTATGATACTATTAAAACTCTTAGTAGAACTGGAGAACTATGTGAACAGCTCTTTTTGTAGAAAATGTGGCATGACCGGGAGCCACAGTGTGATTACCATGATTGGCAAAAGCCCAAAGGAGAAGCCAAAGGGTGGATTAAACGCACACTTCCTCTGAGAGCAGCCTTCACTGACCACAATGACCACTTTGATATTAAAAGCTGCAGGAACTGCTCAGGAGTCAGGACAAGTTATTAAATAAGACAATGAGCAAATAAACACATGCAACAGAAATCTGCAGAGCTGGACAGAACCCCATTGTCCCCAGGCAAAGAACAAATGACTAAAACTGGATTTAAATTAAAGAAAGCATGCATAATGTCCCCTCTCTCTTGGCTTATTAATTGTTAATTACTAACTAGTGCAGTAAGGAGGACCACACTCAGACCTACAGGAAGAGCAATTTGGAATAACATGTCAAAAAGGTAATAGCCGTCTGAGTTCCTAATGAATTAAAATATCAAATTAAAATCCAATGTGAGGAGAAAGTGTATGCTAACAGGAAGAGGAAGTAGCCTAGCTAAACTTCAGTACACCTGCAGCACAGGTAGCCTCTAATAAGCACACTTTTTGATCTATCAAGACATTAGGATCAGGCGAATAAGATGCTAACCAAAGTCTGCATACAAACATGTTTTACAGCTTTTTAGACTGACATAAAGCCTACACTTTGCTCGCGGCCACTATGTAAACAAAACAACAAAACAGTCCACTTCCTCATATTACCCAGCGCTATTACCAGCATATGACACTATTGTAACCAAAAGCGGCAAAAGAAAGCCTTAATAGCCCGGATATGCGGTTATTGTCAATAAAATTGTAGTAAGCGACTGAAACTGGTGTCAAATGACTCGCTCCAACAACAGGTGTCAGCGGCAGGTCCAGCTCCGCGCTTACCTTTGTGTAGTACAACATCCACAGCTCGTACAGTCGCTCCTTCGATGCCATCCCGCTGCCCTTATGATTGCTCATTACTGCCCCTTTGTTTTACAGCATAGTCAATTTGCTATAACAAAATCATAGTTGGGCATGTCTGAAGTTGTTTCCCAAAGACAGGAGGATCGGTCGCGCTCTTTTGAACCATCGCTGCGAAAGGTACACAGAAAACACGTAGCTTGTAAAAGTGCTATTTGATATTCTAGTGCAAAGTTACCAAAGTGGCATTAAAACATATCGTAGTGTCCAGTCAATAACGTCCAAATATCCTAAGAGAAACCATGGAAATACGCGTGCGGAGGAACACCCATGTCCTTAACCAAGGCGAGGTTGTAGCTGTATGATTCCTATTGGAGAGAGTTCCCACGGAAGCGACACATGCCATCCGCCGCTCGGAGAAAATGACAGCGCCGCACGCACCAGCCCACTGCGCGCTCTTCAACTCAAGTGTCACATTCTCGAACAAGCAGTGAAAAAATGGGTTAAGAATGAACTGTCATGCACCCAGGTAGACTGCTACTCTTAAAGACATACGCACACAATGACAGGCTACAGGGGCATACTAAGGAAACGAGGAAGTATTGGGCTCAGGCAGGTAGGCTTTAGGGCTGGGGTTGAAAATTGAGTGTTTTTTTCACCAGCCACATTACTGCTGAATCTTGACACAGCCTGCCCTACAGTATATGAAAGGACAATCTGATGTCACAAACAATATGGCAATATAATGGAGCAGGTGAGAGAGAGGGGTAATCTCATAGCCTCACTGGATTGGAGATCTGAATCCTTGGGCAAAATGCCTTTAATAAAAATAATAATAAACTAAGCCTATATCCTATAATCCGAAATACTGATCACTGAAAATTGATGGTTATTTTTTAAGAGAATGCACACTAACCCCAACTGACTTCTTGTTATTATTAATAGTTTTTCATGCTCTATATAATATTATCATATTCATCACCTGTGTAACCCTTACATGCATACATTAGTAGTGATGAATAACTATTTCCACAAAGCAAATTTCTTTGCACACAGTGTAAATACACTCCTTTTTATATCAGTGTTAAAGTGAATCACTCTGCCCTCTTCCCTATTTTACTATTTACTCATTTGTTTACATGGGTGGGGCAGGTTGGATGTGAGCATAACTTTCAGTCACTTACAGCTATAGGGATGGGTACCTTTTAATTTTAATTGGTACTGCCAAACGATCGTGGTTTTTGGCACCAGCATTTGAGCAACGTGTTCCTGTAATAATTATGTAAAATCTCTTAATAGAATAATAATGTTCATAAATTACTTAGAGTTACTAGTTACTTAACTAGTTTAAGTTTACATTTAACTAAAAAGTTTTTAAGGATTTGATGTTGAATTGTGAAATATAAAAGCTTTTTAAGATATTAAACTAAATTTGCATGTGATTTACTTGGAGTTGCCACCTGCTTGTCTCCGTGGAGATGGATATGTTGCATGTATGTAATATCATACTGTGGAACATTCCATAGAAAGCAAAGCATTTCCATGCAGACAAGCATGTGGCAAAACATCTGTCAGAAAAGTTACATAGTGCACCTTTAAGGGTGAAAAGTAGAAAGCCCAACTGTCATCTCAGTAGCATGATCTCTAACTTTGGATATGGAGACACACGTCAGTGTCACAAGTGTTGGCCATTATGAAGGAAACACACAGTGAAGCTGAAGAAGCTGGGTTGCCTTGGTAACGGCCTACATTCCTCACTAGGACCTGACATTGTGACCTGATTATTATGGCGTACGTCCTGGTCTATAGGCTTGAGCCACCAACCTATAGGCTATAATTTGGAGGTTGGAGTTTGTTTAACTATGGCCAGAGTCTGCAATGGAGCAAAGGGGTGCCTTGTATCCTCATTTAAAATGTTTGGCCCCTAAGTAAACTGAATGATACTTTAATGAAGAATTTGGTCTTTGTGTTGCACTGTCCCCCTCTGTTTGCTCCCTTTTGAAACAAAGATGCACTCTCAGTTTGTCCTAGAAACGTTAGTTTAAAACTATCCAACTATTTTCTAGTATCAGGAAAATTTCAGTAAACTAGATTTCTTTTTATTCATATACACCATTGTTTTGTCAAAAGAGAAATTGCTATTAAATAATTGGAATGCAAACACAAACATGTCCACATCGTCATGTTTTATGTTACGACCAGTGGGCTTATATGACCATGGATCTACAATTATGACCATGGATCTATTATAATTGATTATGACCCACAGCCTGATAGATCCATGCCTACAGCAGTCTGCAGCTCGATTAACTCGGTGCTCGCTTATTTAGGGCGAGTAGTGGATTTCCGATAGAGAGAGCGGCGTGTCTCATTCAGAAGATAAACATGGAGAAGAGCGTGGGATCTCTACAGGAACAGGCCCTGAAAAGAAAAGAGAGACTGAAAGCCCTGCGGAATAAACAGCTTCATGTAAGCCCGTTTGTCAGATATACAGCAGCTGCACACTTAATAAAGCTAAACAGCGAAGCAAATCAAAGTATTAGCGATCTTTGGCTTCAATGTTAGCTAAAGTTAGCATGTAAGCTAGCCGCACATAAGTGTTTTGCTTTGTAAATATCATTGGCTTCTATAACTTCAAGCCTAAAGCCTTTGTGTGATTTTTGTCTAAATGTATTTATTCACTCTTTATTACCTGGTGTTTACCTGTAGTAGAGGGTTTTGTGGAGTTAGATAAAGTTAATGGCTAAAAACAATAGCCTAGCCTAGTTAACATTTGTGGGAAAAATATCCAGTAAAATTAAATGAATAAAAGAGGGAATTAATTGAATATTTTAGCTAAGAAAATGAAATAATAAAATAAAAATAGAGTGAAATGTTATCAGATAAAGGTTAGCCCTGTAAAGTGGAACATAATAAAATGACAGCGGTTTGTTTTACTGTTTTACTCATTTTAAATAATTGTCATATTACATGCTATGGTTCATTGCTATTTATTTGTTAGTATAATTTTATTTTATTGTGTTCTGTCTATTGTAAGTTATATTGTATTGCATTTTGCATTCAAATGCTACCATCTGTATTTACATGAACTTGTTTAATAATATTTAAATACTAGTAGTATAATAGTATTTAAAACAGTGTTTACATTGCTAGAAGATGAAGGGTTGACCAGACCTGTCATGATGATAAATATTTAGCACTTAAGAAAATATTGTGAGAAGAGCAGTGTTTGAAATGACTTGAATCCTGATTTAAGATTATTGCATCGGTAGCATAATTACAGTTCCTAATTTAACCATACATTTGAATTTAAAATCCATAAATAGTTACAGAAGGTTCTCTAGAAATCTTATCATGTACTACTACAAAGGATTTTTCACTAGAGCAAAGTAAAAGTTAATAGTAAATATTGAGTTCTATAAATATTATTGCATTTAATCTTTTATTAAATGATTAGTTGTAATTGTCATGACAGGCGTAGGGCCTGACCATAGACTGTATAAAATGTGTGTATATTTCATTTTCATTCATTTATTTAGAGTCCTTGGGGTTGACACATTCTCAGAGTCTGACATATTTCCGGTTGTACAGTTCTGACGAGGGGGTCTGGCCCACTGGATTGTTCTAGCAGGTAGACAGGAAGCTCAATCAGGAAAATGCACAATGGGTGGAGTTTAAGAGCCTCAAATATTTCACTGAAGTCAATACTGGTTACACATTCCTTTCAAATACAACAGGGATAATGTTAAACAAATGACTTTCTTATCTCAAATTTGTATCAAAATGATATGAGTTGCTGTTCTAGCCACTCAGCCATTATGCCACCTAACTGGCTCCTTTAGGGCCGGCCAATTTCAGGAAAACTTTATTGGGGTTTTTGTTATGAGCATTGCGATGGTGATACTATTTACGACTGATAGTTTAATATTATAGTATCAAAGTGCACTTTACAGGTACATTAACATTTGAAAAAAGACTGAAGTATGAAGTGCTAAACTAATCCCATGCTTTTCAGAACATGTTTTAAATCTAAACTACAAGGATAGCAGGTTTTCTGTATTTGTAATAAGAGTAATTACTTATTTTGAAATTATGCATTTTTAAATGAATTGATAGAGCCCTATTAAACAGGTTAAGTCTGTCTCTAACTAGATAAATGGTTGTGGTGGTACTAATTTTGATGTCCTTTTCTTACAGGGGCGAGAGCAGGAAGATGGGGAGCCTGAAACCAAAAAGGCTGCATTAGAAGAGGAGACAGAGGAAAAGCACAAGTTGGTTTATTTTACTAATGTGCCGGTTGCTCACATAGTTAACCTTTATCAGAACTGAAATCGATAGCATGTACCTCGCTGTTATCTGAACACCATCTTTAGCAGGATATCTCTTGGTGTAAAATACATTGTAGGATGTATACACAGACTCAGCCTTATGTTAACCACTGCTCAAATATCAGAAGTCTGCTCAGCTTTGTGAGTGAGAGGAGAGGAGCAGCCATCTTTCCTGTCCTGCAGGCCCTTTTTCCATTGTTTATATTTAATGACTGTGACACACAGGGAGTGCCGCTGTGTTTCTGCTGGTCCGATGATAGTTGATAGATTTTAATTTTTAAAGCTGCAGCATATTCATCTTAATACAAGTTAAACTGCTTATTCTTTTTAATCCAGGAAGGTTTGTTGAATCATGTAGTTGGCATTAAAATTTCATGGTGGTGGTATCAAATTTACAAAATTGGTGGGATTAACACTAGCAACAATACGATTTGGGAGTCTTGTAGTGTAGCGATGGCAGAGCATAGTGTAGCTGTTGAATAGTCGGTGTCATAAGCTGTCACTCTTTGATGTCTCACGTTGCTTACCCAGATCAAGTCATTTGTTTTAGTTTAATGTAGTACAGTTCAGAAAAAGGAACCAGGGAAGGGAAACCATTTGTTTGCATTTATTTAATGTGTGGAGATATAGAGTCCTCTTCTGAGGAGAGAGAGAAAGAAAGGAGTTGGCCAAAGACATGACTAGCATTCCTGCCCATAGCCATACAAGGCCTGGGTCTGTGTGATGGCAGCAGTGTGATGAATGCATCAGTGCTGGACCCTCTCAAGCTTCATCACAACCCATGACATGCACATCACAGCTGATGCTGCTCTGGACAATAGCTTGGACTTTCTGCAAAGACGTCAGCTTAACCTGCCAAGAATCCCCCTGTTGTGTTGAAAGATAGCTTCATTTGGCATCAGGGAGCATTCCTCAGCTGTTGGTGCATGTGCTGAAGCAGGTGGAGCATGTTAATAAGACATGTTTGTAGACATAAAGGGGATATTATTCCTGACCCACCGCAGACATTACACAGCAGTGTTGAGCTTACAGATGAGCTCATTAAAATACTTATTCATGCACTGCCCCCTTCTGGAGGGAAACCAGTATTACTTTCTACATGCCATACAAACCATGTTTAATTTGTTTGTGTGCCCAGAGAAATTAAACTGAGGAATTACACACCAGAGGATGAAGAGCTGAAAGACAGACAGATTCCAAAAGCCAAACCAGCCTCAGGTGATTTACATTTAAAAACCCTAACCCATTCATGTTTTATCTACTGTCTTCTATGGTGTGGACACACTACTTTGTTGATTATGATACAATTCTGACAAATTGACACCTGTTTGCAGTGGAAGACAAAGTAAAAGATCAACTAGAGGCTGCAAATCCCGAGCCCATTATTGAAGAAGTAGTAAGTTCTCATTTCACTTCATACGTAGCCAAACAGACTATAGTTTTCTGTAATAAGAGTGTCTTTTATTTTACAGGACTTGGCCAACCTTGCCCCAAGAAAACCAGACTGGTGAGAACAATGGCACAATATAAAATAAACCGAAAATGATGTGTGCATGTGATATGACTTAAACTTGTTTTATCTATGCAGGGACCTCAAGCGTGACGTAGCTAAAAAACTAGAGAAGTTGGAGAGGAGGACGCAAAGAGCAATTGCTGAATTAATACGTCAGTATTTCTGTCATATTTCCAGACACTGGGCTTGGCATGAATAACAGGCTAATTGCAAATGTTAGGAAATATCCATGATGTGTCATTCCTCCACTGATTTATCAATCTTAACCCTAAAGTACTACCATGCTAAGACAGCTCTTAAAAGCTTTGGGTTTGAGCTTGCATATGCACATGTCTCTTTTCAGGTGAGCGTTTGCGAGGCAGCGAGGAGGAGCTAGCAGGAGCTGTAGGAGCTGTGGGAGCAGATGAAGGGGACTCTGACTGAAGATGTGAACAATAAAAAAAGACTGATTTGTCTGGAACACAAGAGGGAGTAGCCCAAAGCTAAAAAAGGCTGAAAGGCTCCTTCCTGTTCACATTGTACTGATTGCTATTCATGGTTGTTGTGATAATACTGCGTATATGCAGTAGTATCTTTGTAAACAGGTTTAAGAATATTTTTATATTTTCCAGTAAGTGTTTTTGGAAATGTGTCAATGCAATGAACAACAGTAAAATGACATTTTACTTTTTTTATTCAGATACAGTTGAATTTCTTTTAACAGAGGTAAAATATTGAACAGTAATTTGCTACATTAGATCCAAAGATCTAAAAGGTGATAAATACATGAACGTTTAGTTTTTGGTTTGACATTCACTAGTATTATCTACCGAAGACCCCTAATGCGATATACAGGCCCTCTCATATTAAAGTGCATCTGGCCCTCTTCTGGGGGATATTGCACAGTTCATTATAATACCACAAGGCCACCAGTTCAACTTCCATCTGGACATTTCTTTGCTTTTCTGCTACAAGTTTATCCAAAGCACAAATGACGCTTTTATGTAAAATGCACATCTACAGACCTCAATAGAGAACAACAATGCATGTGAAGCACACAAGCTACAAACATTTAGAGCAAGATGGGAAATATAGCCCGTGTCAAATATAAATTGCAAGATAAAACTATTTGGGGCCATACTGCGTGAAACATAAAAACCTCTTCACAGAAAATATTATTCAAGGTGTACAAAGCATGGTTTGTTCTAGATATAAGGTGGAATCGTTTAGCACCCATACCCCAGTTAAGGATTACTTTTAAACTAAAAGGGATCTTTTGGAGCGCTAAATGATATCCTCAGTCAGAAGTTGACATGCATTTGCAACACAGACTGCTACTTATTTAGCCCTTGTGCAAAATTGCCGTTTCTTCACATTGTTGCTGAAGTTGGGATTCAATTCAAATATTAAATAATACTTCTTGCTATAATAGGTAGAAGAGGGAAGCACCTTAGGCTGTCTGTCAGTCGCATAATCCACCAGATTCAATCTTCCTGGCTGCTGGGCCCAGTTCCACCTTGCACACTCTCTGGGCAAATTTAAGTGAGCATAAAGTTTCTCCGAGGTTGCTTTCCAAAGCCGACACCTTTGATAAAACAAAAAGATACACTGAGTAATAAAACTGAGGTTTACAGTGCATTCACGTTTGTCACATTTTGGTCCTGGTTTGAGCCTGTTTTTTGTTAGTTTAGTCCTGATGAAGACTTGATTTGGTTTAATGTTTTGATGTGGTTGGATTGTCATGATACGAGCATTCCCTAACTCAATGTCAATACTAAGCTGGGTTTCAGATGAACACACATCACACCTTTCTATAGACCATTCAAATTTCATACAGATGGGGAACAGCTGAATTGACTATTGCTATATTTGCCTTTAAAATATTTCCCATGAAAGTACAATGTAATCAGTAGTGAAAACTAGCACTGAAATCTGGAAGTATGAAATCCTCACATCTGAAAACAATCAATTCCTGCTATACATACAACTCCAAAGCTCCTTAAAATCTCCACATTTATAGCCATATATTCATACAATATAACATCATTTTCAACATAGAATGATAAGACTTCTAAAACAGTTCAAAAGAATCAACAATCTATCAATTTAATATCTAGCTTCAGTACTGGTTTTAGCTTTAATTAGTACCAGGGTAGTGATGTGCTATTTATTAGGATATCTGTTTGGAGTATGCAAACATGAGCACAGCTTAAAATACAGTGAGTGAATATACACATGTCCATTTTTTTCCCCACAGTGCAGTTCTGCCAAGACACCAGAATTGGTCCCAAAGCCCTAAAATTAAGCCTATAGGATGTTGTGATGTCATCTGAAACCTAGCAATAGCCACCAATGCAAAGAGGCTGTGGTCTGACATAACTGGGTTGGGAAAAAAAATATCTATCCAAAACGATGCAGTTACCTGGACAACCATCACTGTCTTGCTGCCTTTTCCCAGCGAATCTTGCAGCAGATACGTGAGGCGAGAGTTTCTGAAGGGGATGTGAGTCTGCCGAGCCCTCAGAGCCTGGATGACGTCTCCCAGTGCCAGCAGGGAGCGGTTGATATTTTGGGCCTCCTTCAGTCTCTCCCCTTCAGCTCCGGACTTCCACACTCTCTCTGAACCAGCCAGATCTACCAGGTTTAACTTGCCTGAAAAGGAGGGGTTGCAGACAGATGCTGAAGACACTGAAAATATCTGTGGTGGGAAATATACAATGACTTTGTACAATGTTATGAGACCAAGTATCTTTACATTCTGTCCTATATTTTTTTATTATTTCAGTGTAAAAGTAGGCTACAGTATTTTGAGTTTTATTTAAATATTGTACTTTGTAATTTTTTGTAATTCTGCAGAGAAACACAAAATGCAAAAAAGTTATAAAAGGATAGTTCTCCATTACAAGATGAATCATCTGAATAATGAGAACAGAGAACATTGATTATATTGTCAATTATGGTCAGCGTTATTCAGTAAATAAGTTAAATGTAAGCCGTGAGTTATCAATACATGTGTGGAAATATGGTTTTACTCAAACAAATGATTTAGGAGCACATTAGTGAGACTCACCTGTGGTTTTTGATCCTGTTGCGAGGTCTATTCCCTCCACAGTGACACAGAGCAGAGCATGAGAGCGAGAGCTGTGCTGATTCATCTGCGTCCCAAACGTGATCCTGTTGCGCCGTGCAGTCGCTAAAATCTTAAGCAAAGAACCAAGTGCATAAACATCTCTTTTGCTTCTTTTAAAAAAAATATTTTCAATCACACGACCACAAAATTCACCTTCTTGATGTGTTGAAAGTTCCTCACTTCAATGACTCTCAGGCCTGGCACATGCAGCTGTCCCGTTCCATCGGGGTTTATCTTTATGTCGAGTTTCTCACCGTCTTTACTGAGCAGATCTCTGAATGACAAAAAAACAATAATCACAACTGTAGTTATACTCTAGGGTACTGCTACTTTAAAGTATTACTGTACCCAAGCAGGAGTAAAAAGTAGTTGGTGAACATAATATTCAAGTAACATTTGATATGAAGTAATTGGACAGACAAATATTAAATCCTGCAATCATGTCTGTAATTTGTCTAAATTACAGACCACACAAAAAGTAAATCATATCTGAAGGTTAAGTGAAAGAATCACGAACTGATATTATTCACATAATTTACCAACAATGTTTGTCACTTTATAAATTCAGTTCATTGTTATCAGAAAACACTGCAGTTTCTGTCTAAGATTAAACTCAAGTAAATGCGTTCACCTCTGCATATAGCTATATTACAACATTTCAGACTACTAGACCATACCTGAGCACCTCATTGTAGATCTCCACCGAGCTCACAGAGACAGAGTAAGACCACATGTCTTTACGATCCTCAATCACATTAAAGAGTTGTTTGAGTGCACGCTGGTTTATGCCTGGATTCTCCACGCTTCCCTTCAAAACAAAACTATGTCAACAGCCAGTACCAAAGATATGATGCGCAATATATATGTACCTCCATCGTGTAGGTTTTGCCAGAGCCAGTTTGTCCATAGGCAAAAATGCAGACATGGTATCCGTCAATGCATGAGGTAACAAGAGGTTCAATTTCCTGGAAGACCTCCTCCTGTGTGGCCTGAGGGTGGAACACTTTGTCCAGTTCAAAGATTCGATCTTTCCCCTTGTTGAGGACTGTCAAGGAGGACTCATTGTTGGGGTCAGGGGTCACAACTACAGACTGACCCTCCTCGTGCTGGTCTTCTTTCAGCACAGGCTTCACACGGCACAACACACGGATGTTACCTTGCAATAGAGTATAAAATCAATTTTAACTCAAGAGCTTACAGTGGTACAGTACATTTGTGTTGTCCTCGAGCAAGACACTTCTCCCTTGACCTAAATATGAATGTGATGCATGATTGTGAAGCTATTGGCACAGTCTGGAACCACTTGTATGTCAGTAACCAGCTGGGCAGCTGTTGCTAAAATAGAAGATTTGTATGGCCACTGGAGAGTGAATGAGTACAGTAAAGCAACCTATAATTAATTCTTTCTAGTTAGATTATTGTGCTACTGTTGATCTTTGTTCATAACTTTTGGTCTGTGACAATATAAAAGCTAAGAGCATCACCTGATACACAAATGTTTTGTTCAGCTTAATTTAGACCATGGGGTAGACCCAGAGACTGTATGAAGAAGTGGACCAAGTGAGTGTGACGTCACCCATAATGCTCCACTAAAATGAAGCTTGCCATGCTAATAGTTACAGGGATGAATTTGGAGCCAGGCTCTGTATTATGAATAGGATTTTTTAACAAAATAGCAAAACAAAAAAACAACATGTAGGATCATGTAGAGCAAATTAATACAAACATTTCAGACCAAAATGGCACACTACAACAGTTATAGAGAGAAAGGCCTCAGTATTCCTTTGAGGTGGAGGCGCACACATATGAACTTCCTATTTTGAACACAGTGGTTAATGCATTAGATATGTCCTTTTATATATACAGTCTATGGGTAGAACACAAAAATATGGCAGACTTATCTATGATGACCCTGTATTTTATATTCTTCTACATTCCTGGTTCCCCCCTGGACACTCAAACTGCCCTGACACAGGATCTGCTGACCATACCTGACACAGCACAGTGTAAATACTGCTGCATCAAAATTTAAATTTTATGTCCCCAGTAAAGTCTCTCTCTATCTCTCTCTCTCTCTCTCTCTCTCTCTCATAGAGATCCAATCGATCCATGACAGAGATACATGAACACCCCCAGCGTGATGCCACTGCAAAGTATCAATCTCTCACCTTTAAGTTCCACCAGCTGCTCGTGGTACTTCCTCCGCAGAGCTACCTCTTTCCTGTATTTCTCCAGAAGATCTTTATTGGCCTCTGACATCTCACTGATAGCGGCAGAAATCTACAAAAGTCAAGAAAATAAGCATTGTTAGTCACGAGAGGATGAGCTTATTCTAGTTTGACTCTATTACATACTTGTTTTTTTGCCTCATTGATAGCAGATCCATAAAAGTCTGAAAAGTTTCGGACTTGGCTCCTCAGGCTGGCATAGTCTGTCTTCATGGAACGTAAAGTTGGTGGTAGTGAAGTTAAGCGCTTTTGTAAGCCTGTCCAAATAAAAGATTAATGTTCAATTGTTCAATACCTTTGCCTTAAAACAGCACCCTTATATTTCTTTAATGGAGATACTAAATACAGTAATTTGATGTGACTCACAAAAGAACTGGTCCTGGAGATTCTGAAAGTGCTCCGCAGAGCAGTTGGCAGCAGCTTTTACCGCCTCCTCCTTCCTCTCCTCCAAATGTCCAATCTCCCTCAGTAGCTGTTCCCTCAGTGAGCTAATTTCTCTCTCATACGCTGCAATCTGTGAACAGAGAAACAGCAATTACTCATTCTGTCCAAATATAGCCTCACCAGGGTTCACCTGTCAATTACATCGATCTGGTGCTGGCTGATAACAATCAACAGCCAGCAAGGATTCCCTATTCTTTCAATTACAGATCTTGTTCTGTGCTTATAAAATTCAGTGGATGTAAATTTCTCATTAGTTTATTTGGGAGTTTAAAGTCACAATGGAGGGCAACCATGACTATGACACCGTTGTATTCATTCTAAAAAATACAAGTTTATTTAAAAATTTTTAGAAATATTTTGGTTTCTAAAGTTTCAGAAACATATTCTGAATACAATTAGAGGCATTGTAGTTATTAGTTGCCACATAGCTAAATAGCCCCTGGCAAGATTAAAAAATGTTAACATTATTTTTTCAAAAAGCCTATAGGACAAATGAATGAGAAATTTACTTAAACCTTGAAGTGGGCGGTCACAGTTAAACTCCATATGCACAGTATCAACAGTAGGGTTATGTTTAAAATGCAGCAATAACAGAGTGTAATGCTTAAAATGAACAAAAGGCTGATTAAGGCTGTAATGGCTAGGTTTTGTGTGTGTGAATTGCTCTGTACCTTGTGCTGCAGGTTACAGCTGTATTCGTCAGACTTCCTAATTTGTTCCTCCAGCTGTTTGCACCTCTCGTTCTGATGACCCAGTTTTTCAGAGAGCACTTCATTCTTCTGTCTGACTTTATTTAGATGCTTCAAAGTTGCAGGGGACTCCACCTCCACAGTCTGAGTCACATACTGGTCAAATATAACATTTCAATACAGTTAGTTAAAGAGCTTATAACACTACTCATTTCAGTAAACCTTGTTAAAATAATTTTTAAAAAATTCTGTGACATTTGTAATTTTACTTCCTGGTTGGACACAGGCAGCTGATGACAAATGCAGAGTTAATTTGGTAACAGTTACCTAGCAACTATAATGTTAACAAGGGCCTAAAAATGAGCTGATGTATCCTACCAAATCAAATAATAATTAAAACATGAAAGTCTGTTATTTGAACTTTTAAGTCATTCTGACACCTTTGTGAAAGACATCGCACAGGTTACAGTTTCTAATTGTGTATCTGACATTTTATTTTGTCTGTTTTATAAATGTATTTTATATGAAATGTTTTGTCTGTGGCATGCCCCCATCTCCAAAGCTTAAAATCCTTTGTTCTACCTTGTGATGCCATGATGTGGTAGTTTTCAAGTTAATGACTACCTGTTGGGTTTTGTTCAAATAGAAATTGTAACAATTGGGTTGTAACAAATACATAAAATAAGCTATATACCATCTCAGAAAAACTCTTTATTGTACCTTAACCACTGGGTCCTTCGCCCTCTCTCGGTCTAACTCCAGCTGCAGATCTCTGAGTCGGTCCTCGCGTTTCCTTAGCTCCTCTCCTCGTCTCCACTCACTCGCCTCACTGTGGCGCTCCAGGTTTGATAATTGCTCCGCTCTCTGCTGGAGAGACATCTCCAGCTGTTGCACTCTGCTCCTCAGGTTCTCATTTTCCTAACACACATAGATTGTGTCAGTGAAAGCTATGCAAAATGGAAATTTAAAATTTATTGCAAATTGTTTTCCAAACACGACTGTTGCTGTTGCTTATCTGACACATGTGGCCAGGTATTTTTGATAATCACATTTCTTTTGTGCACGTAAACAACCAGACCTCTTTGTCAAAGCCTAATTTGGTCAGATCTCAGAAATTAAGCAGGACTGGATCTGATTAGTACATGAATGGAAGACTGCTGGTAATACCAGGTGCCAAAGTGGGCTGCCACTGGCAAAAAACTGTTGTTGTGGCAAGGCACTTGCACGTCCATATTGCGAAGTATGAATGTGGAGTGAGTGTGTGTGTGTGTGTTGGTGGTGGTCAGAGGAGTGAATGTCACATGGTCACATAGATGTACCAGTGACAGGTGCATTGTACACATTAAACATGTCCATTAGCAGTGCTGGTGCTCGCTACCTTCATGAGCATGTTGCTGGACTGTGAGGGGATGGTGGACAGCTGCTGCAGAAGCCCCTGGGTCACACTCAGGCTCTGCTTAAGACTCTCATTCTCTGCAGTCAAACACAGCACCCTTTTCTCAGAGTCTGTGGCACCCTGACAAACAACACCACATATTTATCAGTTAAATGATAAACATCTTAAAGGCCTTTTATATCGCAGTAGATTACAAACTGGCTTCACAGTTTAATTTCTCAAACACAGTTATATTAATTAATCAAAGCACTTACTGAAGAAATTCTGAGTCTGGATAGCTCTTCTTCTCGTTCCTCTATGCATCCTTTCAATTCATCAATCTGTACAAGCATGGATGTAATTTCATTTTACTTTTAAAGGATTAATAAAGAAATTTCATATGATAATTGTTAATTTTATACCATTTGTCACAGCACACCAATAGGTTGCCTTCAGACTTCACAGTTTATATGGTTCACATTCAGTGATCATTTCAGAAGATATCATTGTTTGTTAAGGATTAGCTCCATAAACCTGCCCTATTAATGTTTTGGTTTAAAGTCCTTCAGTCTTACAACAATAACATGAACCACTTTCTGCAGCAATTGTTAAAGAAACACTTTTGGTTATTTGTGTTGACAAAGAATACATTGAAAATTATGTCAGTTTTTGTTTCATGTGGAATGGCCCAGTAAAAAAATTAACCATAAACCAGGTCTACAAATTCGCAATTTGACAGCAGATTAAAAAGCAAAGTCCGCCACTGAATGTGAACCTGAGTAGAGCCTGTCCTCCAACCAACTCAGTTTTAAACTAGTCCTGGGCTTCAGAATGATAAAAAAAATTTGGTTGTTGCCAGTTTTTTTTTTTGTTTTTTTAATGAGAAAAAGTCCTGAAAATGCTACATATGCTACATATATACAACTGAAAATCCATGAATGGAGTTTTGAGAATTTTGCGTGGCATTTTCAGTACCTGTTGCTGAAAGGCCTGTATTTTGGAACATCGGTCTTTGTCTTTCTGCTCAAGCTGTGAGTGCAGCAGACGCAGTTCTCCTCTCAGATGGCTCCTTTCGCTCTGGAGACCGTACAGAGACTCCACCAGGAGATGGACTCCCCCCTGTGCCCCACTGTCACTGCTGCATTCACCTAAAAACACAACAAATATCAGTTTGAGTTTGATCTATTTGTAGAGGCCATTTTGTGCCTTGGTTTTAGGTTTTGTCCTTTTAATATCTGTTTATAGATATTGATTAAAATAAAAAATATATATAAATTATGTTGCAGTGGAATTGATTCAAAGGGAAGCTCTAGCAGTGGAAGTTAGTCACTATCAGAAGAAATACTTAGAATCTTCAAACATCTTTTGACCTGATCACCTGTCTTATTTTCATGCTGAATTCAAAATAACATTGTTGTTCTAAAGCTGCACTTTTTTTTTTTTTACTTTTTTTCTTTTGCTTTACAGTGGAACATTGCAGATAAAGTAACATGACATACATAAAGAGACAAGCAGGTGTTATACCCTCCACCAGAAAAGTTTCACAGTCATCACCATTAATTCATGTCATTTTACATTGCGGTTAAGAAGACATTCAGTTTTTGAACCAGTTATTACCCCATAAACTCACATGTATATGCAATATTAATAAACTCGCTTGACATATATCTCTTTTACACACTCACCCACACTTACATGTTACACATTAACCATGCATTGCTTCAGTTACATTTAACCACTCCAAGGTCTCAAAGGACTCTTAACAGACACATATTGATGCAGTTCACGTGCAGCCAGAACCACAGCTCTATTATAAAATGCATTGGGCTGGTAGCATGTCGTTCTTCTTAGCTGGATGAATAACAACATGCACAATTGTATTTTAATTACTTTTCTTTTACTTCATAATTTATGGTCTGTCCTGTTACATTTTCTGGCATTAGTTTTATGTTCATTTTGTATTTTTCCTACACACATTTCAGGGCAGTAGAGGCTTGTGAATTTAGGTGGGCAATACAGTACACTGAAAAATTGGTAGTAATATAATTATTTTTTGAACATACCAAATTGGAATATTGAGAATACAATTTTTAAAGCAGCAAAAATAATAATAAAAAGGAAAAATGAAATGAACTTGCAGTATTCTGCCAATTGAGGCTAAACGACTGATCTTTCTACACATCTTTCTGTGGTTAATAATATTCACAATATTGACTACAATGGTCACTGAAATGAAGAACACATTGAACGTCAGCTCAAGTAAACAGCTAATACCTATAAACAATAAACATGATCATTCACTCACATCTGGGAATAGGAGAGGGGCTATTTTTAGCTCAGCGCACGTGGATCTGAGCATGTGCCTGTCCATGCCCAAGTGCCTCATTGGGAAAACCACAATGCTTTGAATCTTGTTTTATTTATGGCAAGAAATCACACCATCACCACCATCTTTGACTACTTAATGGTACATTGTTGCACACATCAATGTAGAAAATCCTGTTTAGGTTAGCATGCACAATGTTGAGTACTGAATATTGATGTTAAAAGATGGAAGTGGATTTCTATGACCTTTGCCAACAGAGGTCAAAAACATTTCATCAAATCAGAAACATAGTGAGTAGCCTCTTCATTTTGGTTTATGTGGTAATAACTCATAACATATTTGTGATGATTTAATTTTGCTATAAAATACATAATTCCTTTCCTAAGTGTGAAAGCAATACATATACACTATAATAGTTTCCCTGTATCTTGAAACGATACTTGTTATCGAGGCATTTAAAAAAATATATTTAGAATAAATTTTATGCTATCCTTGAAAGGAAATTTGTCACGAGGCCACTGCTAGCTTGTTGTTCAAAACAAAAAATTACCAAAAACACAAGAATATTACTAATAATAATAAACATTAGTAGGAATGTGTACTTGTTTGTTGGTTGTATCTGAGATCATTTCACATGGCGCATCCACTTATTTTCTTTACACATACCCCTCCCCCCTGATTTAATCAACTTGGACGCCCACAATATGAGAGAGTCCCCTCCCCCTCGGACTCACCTTCACTCAGGGGACTCTGGGCCTGCTGCTGACTAAAGGCTTCCTCCAAACTGGTAATGATGCTCTTCTTGTCCTTAAGTCTTTGCCGATAAGAAGCTCTCAGAGCCTTCATTTGACGTCGATGTTGAATGCGATGTCTCTTCAGTTGGACCCTGTACTGGTCGGCCTGTTGCTGCAGTTGTTGGAAGTGTGAATACTGCTCCAGGAAAGTCAATAAGTGGGACATCACGGCCACCAGGGGAGAGTCTGTGATCTAGCCAAAAGAGACCCAAGCACATAAAATTAAACTTGGTGCTCTATTTGCAAGTGTAATTCTAGTCACCCTCACACGACACCTTTGCTAGGGTTGCACAATACATTGTTCTCAAAATTGTAATTTGAGTTGCTGCAATTATCCAATTGCAAAGGCTGCAGGTGTTTAGGTAACAGAATATCCTCTGAAAATAACAAAATAGCCATAGTAATTTTATAGAAAAACCTGCTTATACCTCTAAAAACTAAAACAATTCATGTGATTTATATTAGTTTATCACTTCATTATTCATTATTAGTCTTTTCTCATGCTATTGTAGTGGTTTACAATGTGCAATCCTATTTTTTAAACATACATTGCAAATCTAAATCAAACTGCACAGTCACAATACTTGTCAGAAAAATTGCAACTAGATTGTTTTTCCCCAAATCGTGCAGCTCTGACCTTTGCCGGTGTTTCGAGATGGTGTTGTGAGGTCCTTCTCTGCTCTGCTTCTTGTTTGAAGGACAAGAATGCAGCCAGAGGAGTGCATGCTGGGAGATCTGTGCCGTCTGTATCATCTTCATCACTTGGAGACAACTCATCACTGTCACTGCTGCTGCCTGCAGGAAAAAGTGCCTTGTTTTTAGTTTTTAGTTTTAATTATGTTGTCTTAACATTAGGAATGGTCCATTATGGACTTTTTAAAAATCTGATACAGATATCTGATTTGATCTGATCTGATTTTGAGCTGATTTGTCTTGCTGCTGTGGCCAGTAACTGGATATACAATTGTTTGTTGTGTGAATATGTAAACATACAACAATATTTGCATCCTAAATGCCCCTAAGTCTGATGCATTGAAAACAAACTGGGAATGACACATGGGCACACAGAGACTGGAGCAGATTAGGAAAAAAAATATTTGTACTAATATCAGCTGAATTTTCTATATTTACTACTAGAGATGGTATATTGCCCATCACTACTTGATGGGCAATATACTTTCATTAGCCTATTTAATTGTTTTTCATTCATTGAACAGATCAGACATTATAGTTAAAATGCAAATATTCAGTACAATACAAATCTTGGCACTCACTTGATTCAAGCTGAAGTCGAGCAAAATCCTTTTTTCCCAGTTTGGGGGTGTGGCCACATCTCTTGGTCCCTGTTTCCATGGAAACATGTTCTGCCTCCTGAGCTCAGCAACACATTTGGGGTCAGACAATTACACACATAAACACTGACAATGCTAAAATTATCATTCAAAGCAACATGCATTCAAATTATATTGTAGTAATGTAATGCTATATTCTAAAGGTTATTAAATGTTACATGAACGATCAATAACTGACACTGAGCTTTGAGATATGAAAAGGAGAGATGGGACTTACATTTGTAGACGTGCCGCCACATGCTCCCTCCAAAGCTTCCTCCTCCTCCTTTTTAAAGACAGTGTAGAAAATGTAGACTAGAAGAGAGTAGAAGGCATACATCTCGACGCCAACTCAAAAAACCTGGAAGACATTCAGCTCATTTATCAATACTGTCACACTGGGCACATTTATATGGCAAGTAAAAGATAACGAGAAAAATATGATAACCCAATACTTATAACAGATTTTGATGTGTTTCTACATGCACAAAAGAAATCCGATCATTAACAACACCAGGTGACATATGTCAGTTAATCAATGATTTTTAATAGAGTAAATTAAGACATGTTACAATAAATTCTAAAATAATTCTTTCAATCTTTTATTTCTGCCTTTGTTACATTAGTTTGCCCTTTTTGGCACAACTGTAGCAATCAAAACCTGCACAGGTGTGAGTAACAAGAAGGAAATCAGATTACACACTCAGATATAACCATTCACATGACATTGCAATAATCTAAAGTCCAGATATCAGATTTTTGGTGTGCATGCCACAATAGTCAGAAATGGGAAATCAAAAGTCCTATTTTACCTTATCTCGCTCCCATCTTTTCTTCACAGCTGATGCCGTCATAACACTCCAGTTTTTGCCATTGCCTCGTACAGTCCTCGTCTCATGTCAGGGTCCTGTGCGAATATCACATCCCTCTCTCCTCCCTCTTTCTCTCTTTACTCTCCTCCTCCTCACCACTTCACTCTACCTACAGGCTGCTGCTGGACTGAGCATGCCCAGTGCAGCGCTTCAGTCTGCTGCAGTGTTAGGAGGCAGTTACAAAGTCAAGACTAATTATTTTCTGCTACATGCTGCTAATGAGCCTATAAAACTTGTTTGAGTATACTATCACATAGCTCCAGTTCAAACACAAAATGAAAATCAGAATTACCAAAACCAAGGCAGGCAAATGTTGTATAAAATAGTTAAATTGCTTGTAAAATCTGAAACTGAGATCATATAAAATCCACAGTATGTCTTTCACGAGAAAAAGAACAACCAAACAGCTAAACATGTGAATAATTATATGAAATAATGATACCCACAAAATTAAAGACTGCTACAGAATGAAACACCAACAACACACATTATCCTCAAACTGTGTTAATAAATCTTATCATTTTGTCCGACAGTTTGGCCAGAGATCTGAAAGAAGTCAAACATACACAACCATCTCGGTTGTGTATGCACTGCAGTAAAAGGGGGACGTGTCTCTAAACTCTGAAACCCTGAGAGAGATTCTGCAGTGCCCCATACAATTTACTGTGAAGAATCAGCAAAATGCAAGGATGTGTTTGTGGACAAACTGGTCCAAGGCAAAACTCCCTTTAATGCTATTTTAGGATGTAAACGAAGCAACTTTCTCTATAACATAAAAGACAAGGAACAAGGCCAAGACCGTAGATCACTGCAGATATTTGAATACTGCTGAGGCCGATGAAATCAATGGGGCCAGCTGGATGGATGCAAGATAACACCAAGAGTAGCTGTGTTTACACCTGATTTATTATCATATTTTTTGTAAACAGCAATCATGTAATGTATTTTTGATCTTGGTCCTTTTGAATCCTCCCATCAGTTTGTGTAGTTTACGTGTCTTTTTGTGGGAATATGGAATATTTGTGTGTTTTATCTGTTTTTATTTGCATGTTATAATGTTGATGTGTAAATTTTGTGGAACCTTTTATTTTTTATAGTTTGAAGCGCTGGCCCAACTCACAACCTCAGACATTGACGGAGCACACCTGTCCTAATTATCCAGCAGGCGCCAAACTAACTCTAGTACAGATAAATGCACTGCAGCGTCAGGGGATAAGACCTAATGGTGGCACGGGTTGCGGCTGGACTGAGCGGTGCCACGGGCTGAGACGAGAGCAAGCAGGGGCACGGGTCTTCTTAAAAGCCTCTCTCAGACACATTTTAAATGATCCTTGAATGTCCAAAAATCAGATTATAATCCAATTTCAGTGTGCATGTGCACATACCCATAGATGTTGCTGGGATGAACGATCTAAAACAAAAAACTGACTCACTGGTACCAACTGGCTCGGCAATCATGAATGAAACCATTGTGTAATTACAAACTTATTTCAGCGCTATGTAAAATGTAAAGTACTGTACTGTAATGTAAGGTATAGTAAAGTTACCAGATAAACAAAGGCATAGACAAATGCATACAGGCACACTTTTTTATATAGACCTGAGTTCACAATACACAACAAAACAACCAACAAACCAACTTGCATGTAAACAGTAGGGAATTTTTGGCAAGTAACATTTTCCCCACTGACCATAAAAGTATCCCTGGTATTAGCTGTATACTAATCTGCTGTGTCAGTTTATAAGAAAAAAAATATATAATTTTATTAGATTTTAGATTTATCTACTATTATTACATTTTCTACAGACTGCTCTTTTTAAGTAGTGTAGAGTATTAATTAAAAAGAACATGCCTAGCTCTGAAAGTAACTAAATACTTATATTACACTTGTCTGTCACTTCTATTAGAAATATCCTAAGAGCTCGTGTGGATGCCCAGCACCCCACGCACAAAATACCTCTCAAAATCCACTCCAGAAGTCCCTCTGCTGCAGCTGTGGTCGCCATGGTCAAAGGAAGAGCCAGAGCCAAACCAGCAAGAGCTCCTAAGGTATTTCCAGTGAACAGACAAACTGTAAGGCAGCAGGACAGCGAAGACAGGCACAGGCAGTGAGTCATGAGTGAAAATGCATCTTCTGATAACCAATCTCTTAGTGCAACCAGAAGGCACGATCCACATAGAAGGATATAAGCAGTGTTGTGGTCTTCGCTCAGCCAGAGAAGTTCAAAGGAGAGCAAAGTTAGAGCCAGGACCTCAGATGCCCATGACAGTTCATTCTCTGGTAGAAAATTGAAGAAGGAGCTGAATGATGCTAAAGTAGAAAGTCCTGCAGAAAGTCCAAGCAGGAAGAAGCCAAGAGATGGAGCTCTGTGATTCTGGAAGAACATTTTCAAACCAACAATTGTAAAAACTGTTTATTAATACCACACTAAACACACATATGCAAGTAAGTTAGTACAACCAAGTAAAGAAATCCTAATAACAAGACACTGCGTTGTGTTTCTTACCTTAAACAATTTGTAAGATGAACGAAATGCAGCTAAACTCAGACATATGTTGGAACACACAGTTGTAAAGGAGGCCATTGCACTATTTAAGGTGCGCTGTAAAATAAATATCTGCGAACACAAAACTTTTCAAACGCCAGCAGAGGAAATAGACGCAAACTTAGTAAAGCATGTGGTGCTGCAAAAGTATGAATGCGAGTTTGTTTTGACATGTGACGATGAATCCGGATATGTGTTCAGTGCGCATGCTCCTAAAGATGCCTTTCAAATTCATATCGCAGAAATACACCGTACACAAAAATCTATACATTAAGAATTTATTAACCCTGCATAGACTATTGACCCTAGTTGAATATAAATTATTATTATTACAAATTATAATAATTTACCGCATTGGTTTACGTTGCAGTACGTGATAAAATGCTACAACACAAGTTTTTACGACTGCACCAGAACGCAGCATCAGCAGTTCGAAAAGTATGGCGGCGGAGCTGATTACTCTGACAGAGCAGTGGATACGAGATAAACTTCAGCTGACGCATCCTTGTCTCGGTAATAAATTTAAAATCTTGCGTAAAATATGGTTTACGAAGTGTACCAGCCTTTTGCATAATTTAATTGTATTAAATCTCGCATCGATTACGAAGATTTTACTATTGCATCTGTCGCTAAGCAGCTAGCTCCATTAGCCTTTGCACATCTCCTGTTTGCAGACAGACACAACCTTGATCACCCAAATAAAAGTGATTTCTGACCAAATGTTTCGTGTTTACAGGTGATGTCCGGTCCCTAAGCCTGCCTGGCACATACGAGCAGAAGATACAACATTTAGGAACTGGATTAAAGAGCTTCATACGTTTAAAGTCTTTGGATCTTTCCTGTAATGCTCTTGTGTCTATTGAGGTAAAAAGAAACAGTAAAATAATGTAGTACTGACGCCTAGTTCATTGGCCTAGTTTTTTGACTAGATTCCTTTAGAAACACATATTGGATAGTAACATAGTAAAGAAAATTAGATATAGTTTGCTAAATAAAGTGCATTTACCACTACTAATAAAAATTATATTTTTCTTTTTCTATCTCTATTCAGGGAGTGCAGCACCTGAAGACCTTGGAGAGACTTATCTTGTATTATAATGCCATACCTTCTTTGGATGAATTAAACATTCTGTTTGAATTGCCTGCATTAAGAGAGCTTGATGTCCGGCTAAATCCTCTGACAAAAAGAGAGCCACACTATCGCCCATATATTGTGCATGCAATGCCTAAACTACGGAAACTAGGCATGTATAATAATATCCAACGTTTAAATATGTATATTAAGTTATATACCATCACATATTGTCATATCTTTTATTAGATGGCTGTCCGGTAAGAGACACTGATCGCAAAGTTGGCATTATGAAATTCCCATCCGATGATCCGCCTCAAAAAAAAGATGTTTGTGTAAAAGTATCTCCAGACAAAAGGTACACTATCTATTAATTCTGAACTTCTAGACACTATAAATTTAAATTAATATTCACTATTGTATATATTGTTTGCTTCCTGAATGTAAAATTACCTGTAGTCAGAGGTTGGCTTTGGTCGACCGTATCTGCCAGAGGCTCTCTGTCCATAAAGACTCAGATGATATAGTGCTAAATTTTGCTACAACAAATCTTGAAGACCAGACTGAAACTTGTGTACAGCATGGTGAGTGAATGTATGAAAGTATATAATTTCAATATATTTTATGTTGTCAGTAACTTACTTCTACTGTTTTCTCAGGCAACAAAGAAAAAAAAAGAGCTTTTTATGAAGAGAGGAGTTCCACACCCAAACAGGTAAAAGTTACGAGTACGTTGAAAAAAAATATATATACATTTTTAATTGGTTTCCTTCTCAATTATTTTGTGTGCCTAGGATGCTGCTAAATCAATTTTGAGGCATCCATCTGCACATTATGGTATGTCTTATAATGGCAGATTACTTTTGCATTATTATACAAACCTAGTTAATAATCTAAAGTAATAAAGACATTGGGGTAAAAATAAGGAAAAGTCAAATAATTATAGCACCTTATTACTGAACTCTGACAACCAGGAGGGGGCGACATAATCCAGTTTGTTTTACTTTAAAATATATTTATTTATTTATTTATTTTTTACGGTTGTTATTACTGATATTCTGTTTTGTTTTGTTTTTGTGAGCAGATAAATGGAAGTCTGAAGTGCCTCCAGAGAAATCCAAACAAATTTGTGAAACTGTTTCTCTCAAAGGAACAGAAAAACCTAAGGTGTCTTTTGGTCCTTATATTGAGAAAACAAAGCCTTTATTTGAGAAACTAAAAATAAAGGATTCTAAACAAAGTAGACGCCAAGCCAAAGGACATTTTACTCCACATCCAGGTGAGATATCTATCACTACCCATAATCCCAATATTATATTAGTTTAACTATTTGATTTATTTTTTTTATCATATGCTCCCCTGTTAGTTAATTAGTATGTTTATAAATTGGAATACTTTATGACTATATGAGCTAAACTGACTTTATAAAGTATAACCTACACCCAAATGTGTTTGTTGAAAATGCTGTGTAGATAAAGTGGATTGATAGAACGCAGCTGCTAAGTAATAAAGATCAAATTAGTATTAATGCATTTCTATTTTATTTTCAGACCAAACTGTACATCCTGGCTCATATTTTGGTGATATCCAGACTCCTAGTCCATGTCATCTTGGAGCATATTTGTCTAACCCTGCTAACCCAATACTGCATCCACCAAGACTCACTTACTCAAGTATTCACAATAGAGAAGAGGGTGGTGGTTCCTCACAGCAAGAAGGAAAGAAGAAGAAGGTTTGTGCCAGTTTAAGACTAAACAAGTTAATCAATGAATTACAACGTGTTGATGAATGAAAAGATTATCAATAAATTCAAACAGGTTGTGTCTGGACTCAACCTGTTTGAGTCCAAACAGGTTGAGTCCAAAGTATGCTTTGTGCTGAGAGAAGAGGTTTTATGACCATGGCAAAGTAGTAATTGCATAAAAACAACATAGGAAATGTTTTAAAATGTAGACATACTCTATCAAGATGTCCTCAGACAGTTGGGCTTCCTCTGGGTCTACTTTAGTAAAAATCTCATTCATGTACCTGTCGTGATGTAAACAGCTAATAAAGTAACTGTAGAAAATAATTGCCAGATTAAGCAATAAGCAAAATAATTCAGTTTGAGCCCTTATGTTTTTTCCTTTTTAATATTTTAGGCTTTCCAAGTACTTAATGCATTGCTGTTCTGTTTTTGTAAATCTCTCAGGGGAGTTACAGGAAACCACTCGAGATGCTCCTGAACCTCGTAGATAAACACTGGAGGGGAGAGAGATCCCTGCATCAAAACAACAACTTCCTGTGTAAGCTCAAGTACAGTCTGTCAGTCTGGAATGCAGTCTCCCTGTTTGGAGTACCCCATCAGTAGAACACTATTACATAAACGTCTTTTCTTCTTTCTCTTTTATCCAGCTCAAGCTGTGCAGATCCTCTCTCTGATGGAAAGCAGTATTTCTAGTCGGGAGGCAGAGATCAAGAACTTAAGACAACAAATGGATTCACTGAACTCAAAGACTGCAGCAAAAGAGGAACAACACAAAACGGAAATCCAAAATCTGACCTCTCAGCTAGAAGAGGCATATGCTACTGTTGTGAGTGCCCAAGCAAATTATAGTGCGCCTAAACTTCTTCATGGTATGTTCATAAGTGACTGTCTGGTCTGCAAAACAGGGTAAACTAAATGAGCAGCTGAGGATAGTCTTAGAGGAAAATGTGTCTCTGCAAAGACAACTAATTAAGTTTGAAAAACAGTATCTCAAGTCGATGATAAAAACATCACCTCATGCTCAAATTCAAGGTATTTGCCAGGTCATAAATTATTTTTTAACCATTTTCGTGAATTGCCTTAATTGTGTATTTGTACATTTTAGAGGCTCAAATAGAAGTGGAGGATTTGAGGAGAGAAATTGAGATCCTTAAGGAGAAAGTGCACAAATCTGAATATAAGGAAGCTGTGAAATAAACAGGAAAGGTAAGTTGATATTGGTACTTTGCAGTGATGTCATACTGGTGTGTTCTACATGTATGTCTAATGATGGAATGTTTAGGAGTTTCCATGGTGACACAGTGCACACATTAGAAGACATTGTCAAAAATGTTGTAATATAGTTTTAATATTGTATGCAAACTAAAAAAAAAACCCAAAAAACAAAATGGATTTAAACAACACATTTTCAGGAGCCTTTGATCCAATGGCTGCTGAAAATGTTCAAGTGTTCATGGTCCTGTTTAGTAGTTAGATTTTCAGCAAAAAGGCGAGGATGACTAACTGAAAAACTGTTGGACTAATCAGTTATCTTGCAATTTTATGTGTGACGGACTTGTTTAATAACACAAATCAGCTCTCCCAAGTAATTTTATGGTCAGATTGTGTTAAAATAAAGCTCAGATAAAACTCAAACTTGAATAACAGCTTCAGACAGAGCAGAGCTTACAGTTAGCTTCACACTCCCAGGGAATGTTGAGGACATGAGCCGCAAAGTATCAGTAGTTTGGGTTCCTCATTATAATTACTGATGCTATATAACTTCATACATTATGCTCTATTATGTTGCAGGTGCTGAGATGAAGATGGGCTGAAAGACTTTTATCAAATGCCAGGTTTTCGTCACCAAACTCTATTTAACATGGTTGCATATTTATTTCAAAACTTCATTCAAAAAATAGTGTTGACTTTAAATAAATGTATTATGTATGTTTTAACATTAAGAATTGTTGTGTTAATTCTATTTGAAAACATGCTATTGATCAAAATAAGATAACTGAATGGAGCAAACAATTACATAATACAATTATTTAAAATCTGCTTCTTTTTTGTATGTTATGTGTATGTATATGCTCTTTTTAGCATTAGTTTTTGCAAACCTCCATTTAAAATCCATATGTTTTAATTATTCTGAGGAGTGGTTAATAAGTATAGATTACTGCTTTTTCTGAATTAGCTGCAGTTTGTGAGTTTTTAGGTCAGTCTCCATCTGCTTTCAGAGCAGTGGACTGAATGCTGCTAGATCCAGCTGCACTGTGACTTTATTTGTATGTGTGCCTAAGGGCTGGACCACTACGCTCTGTGCTAACCTGCACTGGCTGAGCTGCTGCTAAAATGAAAGTGGATGTTTTTATGTGAATGTTACTGTACAGGTCACTGGTCTGCGCTGCTGAAACAGAGATGCTACTAACTAGATTAGACCCTTATGGTGTGAAATAACTATTTATTTTAAAGGACCCCTATAGACCCAAGCAGCAGAGAATAGGGGCTATTTATTGTTTTTAAATGCATTACAAATCATGAACATACATTAAGAGCTCTAAAGAACAAAACACACTGCATGCACCAAGGGGAAATAGTACGTTAAATGCATATGAAAAAATAGACAATAATTCGTCCACATTGAAAGTGCACAGCGTTGAGCACAAAAAGCACTACTGTAGAAACTATAAAACAACGAAACGCTGCTAGACAGTCATTAATGCATGATTCTTCATTAGCTTAGGCTACAGGTAGTTTGACAAATACTGTAATTATTAGGCTGCAAAAATATCCATATACAAAAGTAGCATCCCTTTTTCCATTTTGTGTGTAAACAGCTTTTCTCTTTGTGCCTGACTCAACCTTATTGTACTATGAAAACAAATGATGCATTACAGCTTTGTACATGTCATTGATACACATTGATTTCAAGCAATACAAATTTTATGGTCCCAATTTTAGCGCCCCTTTTTTTGGTTATTCTTATCTGTCCAATGGCAACAACAGGCACAGTAGTCCAAACATGATATGACAAACCATTACTGTCTTCTATATGCTTCTGAATCAAATGCAATATACAGAACATGCACAAAGTACGGCAACACAGGAACATTAAATAAAATACAAAATACCAGTGTCATAAATTAAACTTCCAACTTTTTAGAATATCCACAACTTTACCACAAATATAACCACTGTAGGAAGATATGGAAAAAATACAATCTTGTACAATTTAGCTCAGAGCTTCCTTCTTTAGCTGCGATAACCAATTCATTATGAGAGCAAGTGGCATGTAGTTGTAGGCCAGTATAAAAGGGCAAACAGAATGAGGAAAATAGCAGGGGTAATTAAAATTATAATAAATGTTCACAAAAGATATGACATGTTTAAAAATAAGGTATTTTCATTTGTACTTTTTAAGCTGAAGGCAGGCTAATGGTAACATTTCAAAATGTGTATTAAAAGGGAATGGCACACAAACACACTTAAAGATGTTAGAGTCAGAGTAGCATTTGAAAATTAATAAATACTGATATAGCTATCAAAAGTTGGCACCAATGTTTATACTACCTGAAATACCTATTGTGTCTCTAACTAAATATAAAATGTACTAAATAAAATGGGATTTGATATTTTCTATTAAAAAGTGCAATGTCATAATGTATTATAGTTTGTTTTTCTTGGCTTGTTCTTCATCATTTTGCTGGATAATTAATATATGACCCTATATTAACAGTGTCAATATTGAAAGCATAGCATTTTCAGTGTTTTGGCTGTAACTCACTGTTAGATAGGAATGTACCAGCTGGTGATGACTTATAAAAATGGATGTAAACAGTTTTCCAGTTCTCACACTTTCACAACAAGAAAACAAACTTAAAATCTCTCATACACATAGATGAATGGGAAAATACTGTAGACCAATACCTACTCTTTTGTGCTTGAGTTGAGTACTCTTTAATAGCAAATTATTCTTGTGGGTCAAATGTTATTTTTCCTCCTCCTTATCCTCACATGGGTTTACCCACATTATTTTTGGTGACTTTCTTCTCATATGATCCTTTATGTTTGTATCCGGAGACGTATCCCGATGTGTCCACTATGTCGACCCGCCCGGCCTTGCCCTTCCCGCGCCCCGAGTTGTCGAAGCGCTCCTTGTGCGACCCAGTGAACTTTGTGGTGTCAGTCAGGCGGCTCACGGTAGGAGAGGCTACAGCTCGCTACAGAAGCAAAAACATGACATAATATTACATTAATTCTAGGAAGGCAACATAGGCATAAGGAGAGTGGATGATATTGACAAAAACTAATATATTATTGCTGTTGATGACAGTAATTGATTCATATATAATAGGGTCTCAGGAGTACATTGAAAATGAGATTCCAAATCTCAGTGGTACTTCCCTCATTACATTATGATCATATGTGCCTGCAAATGTTTTTATACCCTTATTTTGAAAATTACAGACAGTTTTTTATGTTGTAGCAGCCATTTTTGAAACTTCTTGTAATAGTCAGAAAACGTCGTCAATATTCTGTCATTCTAATCTTCCAAACAATATTGGTATGATGTTGTAGACCATAATAACTAAATAGCAGAGAGGTTTGAACCCCTTCTCAAAGATATTGTTGGTAAAGATGGGTTATAAGCCATTGTTTAGAGTAAGACTTGATGAACTTTTGAGGTATACATACATTTGTTTGCTATAAGAAATAAAACCAAATTGGTAATAATGATGGTTCAATAGGAGGTCAAAATGTTATATTCATATTTCACTTCCCTAGGGAGGGTTGTAAGTCGTATTTGCCAGTGCCCCAGTTAAATACTAATAATTTTATCTGTCCTTACCGTCACACCTGCAATGATTGGCCCCTTTCCCTCTATTAGCTTAAAGACCTCTGCTTCCGCCTCCTCTCCGCTCTTCTCTCTGTATTTTTTCCTTGCTAATTCTCCGAGCGCGACCTTGAACTCATCATAGGTGATGGTTCGACACGATTTCTTCCTGAAATGTAAACAGAAAATACCCGTTAGTCGGTGTGATATCATGGTGTAGTAAGAGCCCAAAATACAGCATGTGCTTAGCTATTGCTCCAGGCGCAGTCACGTTCACATTTGGGTCAGACTTGAGTTTAAAAATGCCTGCAGACAGTTGTGTACTCGAAGCAGTGTGTAATCTTTCAGTGCGGAGATGGCCCATCCACTGACATAAACAATGAGGGAAGACTGGAGAGATGTGGAGATTGTCTTCCAGTATGTGCTTCCCGATTCAGTGGGGAGGTTCCCTGTTCCAATAATCCTGGTTCCATAAATGTCAAATTCAAATAACAGGAATGTGCATACTGTATGGATTTGGCATTAAAGGCCCTGGAATATAAGCCTGTATCTGGCCCAATTAAGTGCAATTTTCTTATTTTTGTCCATCAGTGCTTGCTGTTTGCTGTTTTTTGAAAAATCTATGCATAACTTATAGCTGTCATTTTGGATATATACATATATATATATATATTTTATTTTTTATTTTCAGTGCTTTTACAAATATTCTGATATTGAAGTGCACGATGTAAGTTGGCCAACTCTGTTGTTTTGCCTGGAATGTTCCACAGTATGGTGGAAACGTATCTATCTTCTTATCACATTCCACCAGTTTTTATTACCAAAATAAATAAATGGGATCATCTGCTTGTCTCCGTGGAGATAGCCAAGCTTTATCCCATTCTGTGGAACATTTCCAGCAAAACAACATCTCCAGCAAAACAACATCTCCGTAGAGAAGAGAGGGTTTCAGACCATCCACCTAAAAACTTACATGCAGTACAATGTAAAAGTCATTGTATCCACATAATTTGAACAAGTTTTGTAGCTATTGTAGCTATTTATAAATTATCTAATCTATAATTTCCTCTACTTTTTTCAGTCGTCTATGTACTAAAACACAGACTGCATATCGGATCTTAAATATACTAGTGTCCATTTCTGTACTCACTCTTGTGTTAAAGGCTCATGGTAACACAAACACAAACAGGCATTGCTGTGGAGATACTTCCTTAAACAACTACAGCCCATAAAGTTCCTGGGGCAACCAGCTGCCATAGAAACCATTTACAGTAAACAGAGGTGCAAATTTAACTACACCTTTGCACACATGTGACCGACAGCTGCCATATTAATGCCAATTTGTAAACCAAGCCATGTGACAGCTTGACACACTTAAACAGTGTTTTAAGTGGGCCTCTACCAAAGCAAATAATACACTCTATTGTTCTAGATTTTGGCAGAAGACACATTTGCCTGTGGTTTGTTTGACTGCTTGTAGCGCATGTCTTGGGGGACCCACATGTTTCTGAGTTGACTGTGTCTATTTGGGCTATGCCTATTGATTCTGTGCCATGTTCCTGGTATGGAAAAAAATTACAAGGAAAAAAATACTGAATAGACAACCAAAATATGTATGAAAATCTTAAAAGTTGTAAAGCTCAGATACAGTTCATTTAAAATAACAGTCTGTAGCAGATTACAGTTGCCTCCATGAGACAGACACCACAGACCTTCACACTCACAATAAACAAGCATCCATTGAGCCATGCTGTCATTAGCCAGTGCTCATTAAGTTGTTTTATTTCTCATGCGTAAGCAAAGTGCTTTGACACTGATTAAAAGGAAAGTTCATATCTGCATCTCTGCCTTAGCAACCATCTCCTGGCTCAGTCATGAGTGAAAGGTGCGTAAAAATCAGGCCCTCCCCCAGTCTGCATGGGGGACACCATTATGACATAAAAACATCATGGTCAGACTTTATTTATGATATTGAATGATTTTAAATGTTCATTGATTGGACCATTCTAGGAACACCTGAAACTCTTCAATCGACAGTCCACTGAATGTTCTGCAAAACCTCTCCAACAGTAAACACGCATTAGAGCTAACAGTGTCAATGACTCATAGGTCACACCATTTTTTCCCTAAATAATTAAACAAAACTGAACATATCTTACTGTTAATTGTACATTTATTACTGCAAGAATGTGGTGCTTCTTATAAAACACCAGCTTAAGATGGAAAGTTCACTTTAATCATTGGTGGACTTCCAAGCACACTTTCATGGCCTTTCCTCTTATGCAGCGAGATCTGGTGATGAATGGCCTGCAGTGATCATATCCTATTCTGGTGCTCTGTAGCAGAATAATGTTTATTCAAACTGGGAGGATGGCAACCCAAGCACCAAAACACTCCCTAACCCTTAATAGCTCTACAGTGCTGGACAAGCAAATATAGAGCATGTGTCTTAAAATGTTGCTTGTATTTAAGTTAAAAACGCATAACATAAATTACATGGCAACCTACAGCTATGACAACTAAACCTTTTATTGGGCTTTGGTAGCAACATGTTCTAACACCCTATATATTAGGATACTGTCACTGTGATTTTGACTTAGTGTATGTCTCATTCAAACTTATAAATTAACTCTTGATGAATATTTCATTTCTACAACCAACCACAGAAATATTTTTAGCAAATCACATTTGCTAAAAAAATTTCAATAAAGGTGTACTAAAATTGCAATATATGAAATGTGCTGATGCTTATTTATTTTTTCAAAGTAAAAAGTGTAATAAAGGATTACATTTAATGGATCATATATAACACTTTTTTGAGCACTCAAAGACTCTATACAGTGTATTATTCATTCACTCCACACTGGGGGGCAGTAAACTACTGTTGTAGCCATAGCTGCCCTAAGGCAGACTGACTGAAGTGAGGATACCAATCTACAACATTGGCCTCTCTGACCACCACCAACACTCACACACACTCACGCCCTTTCTTTCTAGGCATGTGGGTGAAGTGTCTTGCTTAAGGACCCTGTGACAGTTTTTGCCACTGGCATTCCACTGTGGCACCTGATTTTCCCAGTGGTCTCTCATCCAAGTACTAACCAGGCCCGGCCCTGCTTAGCTTAATTATGCAGCATTATAATCCTCTAGTCTTTAGTGCAAATGTGCTTGGACATGCATTTGTTGGATACAGCCAGCTAAATATTGAATACAGTATTAAACTATGCAGATATTAATCATAAACAAAGTCAGAATAGCTGCATTTTGTAAGACTTTAGCCAAAGACTAAATTAAGTGTATTATGGGTGTTTTCATTGCACTGAAATACCTTGAAAAATATCCTTGCTCTGGGGGTGCTTGCCTCTGCACAGACCTGACTTGTAACTTGGCAGGTTGCTGCTTGTCTCCATGGAGATTTTGCTTTGTCTGTAATATTCCACAGAATGGCATGAAGCTTATCTTTGAATGTTATCAAATATGGCTTTAATTTTCCATCTCCATCATGGTCTGCTGGTGATATGCCTGTTGTTGAAAATCTTTTGTTACAAAGCAAACTCAACCACAGATTTCTGACCTGTTTTCCTGCTAAACATTAAGCTAATAGATTTTTAGAATGTAAAGTAGAGATCGACCAGTATGGTTGTTTTTACGGCTGATGGCGATACCGATTGTTTAGAATCCAGAGCAACCGATGGCCGATAAGCTCTGCAGATATTTTTTAGCAGGTTTTGTTTCCCCCCAAATTATGTAATGTAAATGGACTAAAAACAAGGTTAATTATCCCATGACTCACTTGACTTTGCTGAAGACGATGTCCACATCAGTCAGGGTGATGTTTTTCCCATCGATCACGCCACAGTCCTTGCACAGTTTGGACCAGTTCTTGCCGTGCATTTCTTTGCCTGTGGCCCGTGTGTCTCCGTGAATGGCAAAGCGTCGGAATGACTCCTCCAGAGCTGTTAACTCGACTGGTGTGGACGAGCCCATGCCTCCATCACTGGTGCCATTGGACTCGGTGGAGAGCCTTTTGGAGGTGCGATCTCGGGACTGTTCATTGTGCGGCCTCATAGGGACAGAGCTGATGTTCGGGTGCTTGGCTGTTTGGACCTTAAAGTCATCTATGTTGTCTCTGTGGGAAGTAAAGTTGAAGAAATACTGTATTATTACATAAAAACAGATATGGCAGTTGTGTTCTTATGTGACCCAAATAGAGAAAATTTGCATGTGTTTATTGAATGATCAGGAAAAAACTGAAAGAAGGAACGGTGATTTCTGGCAAAATTGGTCATTTTACTTATGATGAAAATATGAAAGAAAATTTAAATTAAAGGTGGAATGCACATTGATTAAGTGCTCCATTATAATCCTATATATTCATTTTAACTGGAATGCTTTACAGTTGATGCAAAGAAATATTTGATATCATATATGTAATTTTTATTCGGTATAATCTTACATCAACATAGGAATTTATTTGTTCTTCCTATTGCTAGTCCTTCTGAAAGTAGAGAGATGATAACTGTTTTCTTTAAAAGATGACTAAAGCTATCTGCTGCTTTTGAGAGTCCACACTTCATTGTGATTGGTTAATTTCACTTGTCATTCACTCAGAGTGTGATAGCCTGACCAATAGGAGTGTGAAGAAAAAGTGTCTGTATTTGAGCATTAAACAGGAGTAGCAAATGACAACAATTTAACCAAAAAAAGCATACTGTCAGTGGGCTCACAATTCAGTTTTAATCAGCATATTGCCAAGTAAATTAATCCACTAAACAGCAAGGCCAGAGCTACTGTAAGTTAAAAATCACATGAAGTTTCTCACCATAAAAAAAAATCACCACATCCTAAACAAAATGCATTGTGGGGGTGCATGTCTTTGAGAAACTGCGTGCTTTTACAGAAAGATCAAGACACAGCTTGTTTAAGTGCTCAGTCTTTGTGCGTGACAAGATTACTGTAAGTTTTTAATGTACTGCCTGTAAACAATCAGCTTAACGGTAGAGCCAGTATAACTTTTAAAGGCTCGCAAACAAAAAGTGAAAGCAGAGAAGTGAAAGTGCTGTTCCAGACTTACTTGTGGTCTGCCATGCCTGTGCAGAAACCCGTGTCCTGTTGTGAAGTGCTCAGTGTGCTTGACTTTTGTTTTCTCTTTGTGCTGTGGAAAATACGAGACCAAAAGGTGAAGACGTGAGAGGATGTGTCCATACATAACGTGAACATAAAGGGGGAGGGGTTAAACAAGGAAATGCGACATCCATACACCAATGACAGCTCAATCAAAACATAACTCATTTTGAAACTAATTTATTAAGCTTTATTGCCTGCACAAATCAATAAATGGAGCTATGCCAATTCAGTAATAAGCCATTTATTGCACACACACAGGTCACAGGCAATTTATCTTGGTCACTGCTGATAAAACAACATTTACTACCTACATATTTGTTTATTTGTACTGTATATATCATCACATCAAACATAAGAAATGTAAGATTAGAAATGTAAGATATTTATTATTTAAAGGTGCACTATTGTTTTCTGATGGAGCGTCTCTTGAAAATGTTATTCCTGTCCCTAGATTGTATGTTATAAACTTACTTAAACTATTTTTTTTTTTGTCCAATGCTTGCCTCCATGGAGATTGAAGTTTTATGCCATTCAGTGGAACAGCAGGTAAAACAATATCTCAAGGAAAAAAGACCACCCACCTGAAAACTTGCATAGTGCCCATTTAAAAATGATTGCAAGCAAAAAATATATGAATTGCAAAAAAATTGTTAATATTTTCCTCACCTTCCAGCCGTCCCCATACTAAGATCAGCCTCCTTTGTTACCATGACAATGCCAGTCCTACTTTAAGCATTAGTTATTTGAAAGAGACATAAACAAACAGAAAACTAACCCAACAGAAGTCCTGTGTCTGGTTCACTATGCGATCTGCTCCAGCCTGCAGAGTCTCAACCTTCAACAGTCCCCATAAAGTGACTTCACACCCCCAGTGGTGCATGTAAACTAAAGTAAGAGCTTTTGTTTGGGCCCCCATCACCAACATCAACTAAACCAGTCTGCACCACAGTCAATGAGTACCAAGGGTCTACCAATAGAACTGTATTCAGCCTTTATTAAAACAATGTATATTCTTGGTGGGATTATAACTATCTGTCAATAATAGCATTCAGCACTATAGACACTGGGGGGCTATTGTCCAAAGCTAGAGGCCTGGCTGTCTGAGCAGTAGACACTTTTTTTTTCCCTCATGAGAGCAGTGACATCGCGGACTACCACAGTGGAGGGCTGAGTTTGAAGTCATATGTCATTGCACATTCAGGCCAAGACAAATGGGATTGTGATTTATTGTAGCCATTCAGGTCTTAGTCACAAGGGGAAGATAAATTCAACTGTAATTAAAATGGGAATGCATCTCAAGGGGGTTGTCAATACTGAAGAGGGTTGTGGCTAATATTGTACCTATTCCAAGATACAACAGGGACACATAAGTCATATAATTTTAACTTTTTTTATATTTTCATTTACAATTACTGTTACCAATAAAATATCTTTATTTTAAAATGAAATTAGTGAAAGTTTGTATCAGTGATTAGGTTCATTATTCTGGGGTTTCAGTGACAGCATTACTTCCTTATTTGAAGGACTTTTGAGAAACATTTCCAGTTCTAACATTTTGTTTTGAAGTTAAAATTAGTTGATTTCTATGGCAACAGTTCTCAAAAATATGCTCCATAACAATAATAATCTTACTTGCCAACACATCTCAGCTGAACATACCAGACTAATAGAATGTTGTGATGTTGGAAATATTGTTTTATATTTATTGGGTTGTAAGTTAAAGCACCACTGCATAAGATTTCTGGTAACACATAGAGTACCTGTTTGTCTTCAATGAAAACTATACACTACCGGTCAAAAGCTTTAGAACACCACACTTTTTCCATTTTTTACTGTTTACCATTGACCAAAACTTATTCTAAACTTTTGATTCATGAAAGTGTCCACTGTTGGTGGATATAACACCTGAACACACTTGTAGCATTGTTTTTACAATAGAAATAAAATATTTTTCAGAAAGTTCTTCCCAAGTCTGTTGCAGAAGTTCCCATAAATGTGTGACACTTGTAGGTTGCTTGGCTTTCACTCGTCTGTTCAGTTCATCCCAAAACCAGCTCAATGGGGTTTAAGTCTGGTGACTGTGCTGGACACTCCATGTTTTCAAGCTTATCATCTTGTTCTTTTTTCCTGAGGTAGTTTTGGCAGAGCTTGGACTTGTGTTTTGTTGTCTTTTATCTTTTTTTTAAACCTCTGGCTGTTCAGTACGTACCTTTGTACCATTTCTAAAACTTTTGACCAGTAGTGTACATTAGAATATTTCAGGCAAAGCGTCAAAATCTCCATGGGGCCATTTCAGACATATTTGTTTATACTTTGGAGCAGCACTAAGCACCATTTACCACTTTATTATTTAGTGTTATCTATTGTTTGTATAATTTGTACCTATAGTGTATACTGTAACCATGCCAATAGTTACTCTACCCCAACATAATTAAGTGTGGGAATGATGTATGCATTCAAACATGTGCATTGTTAATTTTACTTGCACAGAGCCTGCACATTTATAGACCTAAACCGTGGTTTCAGAATTGAATTGTTATTACCGTTGTCATAGCATTTACCAAATAAAAATATATACTATATCTATTGAATGGAAAAGTCCTCAAAATGTTGCATATAACAAACTGAAACCAATGCATACCTCAGATCCTTTGCATGATTGTGGCACTAGCTGCGTGTTTGCCTCTGTGCTCCATTGACAGTAACCAAATCAATTTGAAACAAAGAAACCTCTTCAGCCTCTTTCTTTTATAGCCAGTGTTCTCAAGTGGCTTATTCATTAGTACAAGCCTCTACATAAGAGGTCATTAACACCACACTAATGTGAATGACCTAAGCCACATACAGTTAAAATAGGCTCTGCTCATAATGATCATCTCCTGCTGTACATTTCTGAATGAATAATTTAGTAGATTATATAACATTCAAGTCACAAGTAATATTTTTAGAAATGTGGCGTTGTTAACCCTAATTAAAAGTGCACACTGACATCATTTTAGCATTTTAGCTTTAGTTTGTTTGTGCCCCACTTTATCAGAGCTCCATCATAGCCATTCGGTGTGAGGGCAGCTCTCCAGAGACAAATCTTGGAGTGGATGACAGCATGCTTACATACACTCGCCTCCTGGCCATACACTGCACAGATGAGTGCTTTAACTATAAATTGACCCATTTTGAACTGTGTCTATTCATAGCAACAATGCTGCACACTGGCCAGAACATTCTAGTCATTCCCAAAGGAGGAGAGCAGGCAGCAGACGATTGTACTCTACTGTAATGCCAACAAACAAGCTGATTTTAGCTGTAAATTGCACAGATGGTGAGGGATGGTTTTTAACTTGCAATTCAGCAATGTTGTTATAGGTAAGGGCTTAATCATATCTCAAATATGATTCCAATAATTATGCTCCAATCAAAATAAATAGTGTAGGGCTGTTCGATTATGGGACTCCCTAAATGTTCGGCATTTTTGTTACAGGGTGGGACTAGCGTTCTATGTCCCAAACCAAATCAACGGTTCCTAAACCAAACTCTAATCCTTACCCTGACCTTAACCTGATAGTGAAATAATGTATTGGTCAAAAATAAACATTTGCTAAAAAAAAACAACTTTGCACCAGAATGTAATGCCGAACATTTAGGGAGCCCCGCTTAATTATGGCAAAATTCAAAATTGTGATTATTTGCCACATAATTGAAATTAAAATCACTTCTATAGTGTCAAAATATTCCTGAAAAGAAAGAAAAGACTTAAGATAATTTATTTAGTAATATACTGTGACACTTTAAGCCTCTGTAGGTGAGAAAGGTGGCTTTGCTCCAGGTTTGCAGGGTACAAGCACGGTAATTCATTGTATTTTTCGATTTACAATTTTTTTGTAATTTAAAAAAAAAATAGAATTAAAAAAACTTAAATTACCACAAACTTCATCAGTTGCACAGCCCTAAAATGGTGTGATTAAAAAAATATGTAATTATCCTATTTTGGAATTTTGGGGGGTGTTCGCACTGCCCATCAACCCTTGAGCAAATCCATCTTATCTAATCTACAGTAGCTTTTAAAACATAAATCACAAAACATTACTGATAAATAATAAAGTCTATATTTTATCTACAAGCTCACTTTTGATAGTACATAAATAATTTTTTCAAGTTATCAGTTTGACTAATTGCTGCAGCTCTAATGTGGCTGTGATATGAAGAAGTTGAGGTGAGTTAAAGGCAGCAGGAAGCCCATCTGTTTTACAACTAGTCCACTGTTCTCTCCAGGCAGCTGCTGAGGAATGCAACCTTGTCATTTTATTATTGGATGCAACACAGTCACCACGGTAACCAGGGGACCACCATTATGAACAGTGAATACCCCTATGTAAACATTGGCCAGGTTTACAAGTCTGGCTGTAATACAATATGGTAAAAACAATGAAGGCTTGGCCAAATCTTTGATATTGTAAAACTATGATAAATACCATGTAATCTTAAATGAGTCAGTGTATAAATCTGCAAGACATCATAAGACATTTCTACTTAACCCACAACTGTCTGTTAGCCCAGCATAATTAAAGACACACTATGTAACTTTTCTGGTGCATGGTTTATAATAAACTTTTTTACTAGCAGGGAAACAAGCTGACGGCACCACTAGGCCATATTACAGGGCATATCTGTGAAGAGATGAGACCACTCGGAGTAAAAATCCATGATTTTGAAGGTATTTTTTATTGGATTATAAACACCTGGAACTAAATAAATGCAAGACACATCAAGAAAAACATGCAGACCCCCAATCAGAAAGGTTACAGACTGGAACTTTAATTGGGAGGCCTACAGAATATTGTAATTACATTTAAAACTCAGCAATATCTAGGCCAGGGGTGGGCAAAGTATGGCCTGGCGGCCATATGCAGTCCTCTAATCTTTTTAATCCAGCCCACCGAACTTGAATAATAGTAATATAATAATCATTTTCAGTGTTTTAAAAGTCATTTCAATAAACAGAAAATACCATGGGACTTTAAAGACAGATATTTTGTTGAAATGCTTTGTAATGATTTTCAATTATGGGATATTTTTTTTCTTTTATGAGGTGGATTACCAAAAAACTCCATCCATCTGCCCCTGGTCTGGCCCTTCCGTCAAATTTTAGAACCCTTTGTGGCCCATATATATTCAAAGCTATTTGAAATATTTCCTTATAATATTAAAATTATATCCTTCACTTTGGAGAGTTACTGTAGTAGTTTAGATTAATAGTTTGTTTTCCCTACACAGTAACCACTAATACCCCTCCCTCACACTTGCCCCATAGAAAAAGAAGGAAACAGAATGACATCAGCACCCATAGCTCCTGTCTGAGGTCACCACACAGTCTGGCTCTGCGTCCACCTCCTAAATTGAACGTGTCTACCTCCTTGATTTGTTCTCTGTGTTGAAAAACATCATTTGGGAACCATCAGCCACAATATGTGTTGGCACCATTCACACTGTGTTTACATTGATGAAGCCAGTGCCATATATATATATATACAAGTAAGAGACACACCGATAGAGCAGTGTCCTCAATAGACCCCAGATTGGAAAATATTTGTAATTCAAAGTAGATGTTTATTGGCGTTATAAAAAACAATTGCATTTAATTAAAGAATACCAGTAATGTCAGTGTCATCCAAAGGTTTTGTCATATGTTTCTGCTGATTTGCACCAAATATTTAGAACTGGATGATCTCATGTACTGCCAGATGAGGGCAAGAGCCAGTTTTCCTTGTTGATTACGTGATGCTTTCATAATGTTCAACCTGATACTTATATTTGTGTCTTGGTAGAGCTGTGAAATTAAAAGATTTTTTGTCAAATTAAGATCCAGATTTTTGATATTTGTAATTATATAAGCGAGGGACTTTTAATTGAAAGAGAATTCAATCAAAAAAAAATTACAATTTTTGTCTTAAAATGGCAGTGTATATTTAAAGCCACCTTTTTTTTGTTTGTTTTATAAAGAAAACTTTTCATTGAGTCAGTCATTTTAATCAATCAACACAATGTAAAACGTTTTTTTGTCATATACCAGTCATGGCTAAGCCTTTGAAACCACTACAACAAAAGCTGCCCATTAGTATTAATTGTCACCCATATACATTAAATATTATTGGCCTGATCAATATCCCTGCAATAGTAAACCTATGCCTTTCCACATTTCCACACCACTCATCTTAATCTGTAGTATTCACTTCATTTGGTAAACTTGACCTGCATGTGAGTCACCATAACAAATAAAACAATTCCCCACTCTGAGTTTAATTGTTGGTGACAGAATCCGGAGGCTCTCAGATCTCTGAGATGAAACACAGAGCAGAAAATAAAATCTGGGACATGCTCAGTGAGTGTGTCTTCTGCTCATGCATACCTAATCTAACCTATGTGAGATAGTATTTCTAAACCATTCACAGATATTCTGCCACTGACATTTGCTGTCTGAATGCTTGAATATGTGAGGGGTTAAACTCTACTCTGCTTATTTCAATTGGAGGTTATGGGTGATTTGTGGGTTTCAACTTCCTGTTAGAAACATTTTGAGAACTTTGTCATTCAAAAGATATAATATGTGGTTTTAAATTGTTAATCACTAGGACAACTGTTATAATTTTTCTTTATTCTGAATCCCTAGGCTACTTTGGCCCTTAGCCTTTCTTGACAGTGGCCAGATTCCTATGGCTGCACATGATCATACTTTTAATTGTCTTAATGTGTGCTGAAATGTATGAATGAGCTACATGGACAACTGATCCTATCTATCTAAATCCATTCATGAATGTGTCATATTACACATTTTGCACAGAAAACACAATCTTTACTTCTAATTTCAAAATAGTGAGTCTGAATATGTACACATTACATCGGCGCATGAGTCAATGTGCTATAAAAAGCAATAGTTCTTCTATGACATCATTTATATTTACACGTAATCTGTCCTTAATTAATTCCAAGACATGCAAAGCAGAGGGAAAATTACCCTGCACTGTCAGTTATTAACAGTAATTACGCTAATCCTACCACTATATTTCACAGTACAGTCAGTGCAGGCTATATGTTTATATTACTGAATATGGCGGCAGCTGCTGCAGAACCACTATGTCTCATCCTGGCAGAATTCTTGCACAAAACGTGTTACATAAACTGCCAAACGCTGGACTCACAATGCATCCACGTGACCACTTGTTTTTGTCAAGCGTCAATGCAATAAATAAACACTCTGCAGAACGTGCCATACCAAACATTTGACCATGCAAAGACATCTTACATTATTACGCACAAACACCAGGCGAGCATCACAGAACAGCTGATGTACAAACCAGTCAAGCCACATAATGACAATGTCAACAAATGATGAGAAATAAAAATACGATTAAGCTGAGCGCAATTACCTGAAAAGACAATTACCTCCTCCGTCGATAATTTCACAAAAACATAATTGCGCGTTGCGTGTCCTCAGTGCGCGTGTGTTCCCCGCTGGTGGAGCTCGTGTGTCTGCTCTCTTCTGTCTCTCTCCAGTCACTCCGAGATGCTGAGCAGAAAGCAGCCCGCTGATTGGCTGCAGCCCCGCGCGACCAGTGTTTTCTTCAGGCCTTGTTGTTGTTGCTCTATGATGGAGCTTTATTGCCCAGTGAAGCGCCAAAACAAACAGGTCAAGTGTTTCCTTTTTAATTAAGAGGTTTGTTGAAGATTTTTGGTTAGCCCTAATAGCCAATAATCACAGTCAAAAGCATACATATACGGTTACAATATTGGACTTTTATCCATTTAGGTGAATCAATTTGCGCCTCACAAAGGTGAAGCGTCTATGGAAAAGGCGCGATCATGATAGCTTTATGAATGTGACACAGGGTGTGGTGTTCTCGTGCGTAAACGTGGTTACAATGCAAGGACTACTACATAGTCATAAAATGTGATATAATCTAGCCGAGGATGCCCCCTGAACATGACCAGCGTTACACAAGAAGTAGCCTAATGGCTGGCCATGGATGAACATTGCGTAACCAATTCTCCATCGTCTCATCTATTAACATAAACTACATTGTCTTTTTGAGTGACCGCGGCGCAAGGCGACAGTGAACGCCGCCATTGTCTGCGCCTGAGAGATAAGAGAAGTCTGCGATACAGCGGTGTATGATGAAAGGTGTGAGAGCCAAGTGTAAACACTGGATGACATAATTCATATTTCAAAATGTATCAATTGCGCCCCTCCGTGGTTGACATGAGCATGCTTTATTACAGCCTGGCTTAACCAATAATTATTTACATTTTGAAAAAGAACAAACATTAATTTGACAAAATAGTTCATGTTCAACAATGTGCAACATAATTACGAATTTCATTTAGAATAAACAACAACTTAATCTTCTAAGTCTTAAAATATGAACAGCATAAAATGAATAATCATTTAATTCATAACAGCTCTTTAATTTAGTCCATTCATGGGTTTCAACTTACCGTTGATAGGCAACATTTTGAGAACATTATACCATTCAAGAGGTATGACATTTTGAATTGCTGATCACTATGGCAATGGTACACATTTTTCATCACTCTGAAAACCATAGATAGTCCATGCTGTTAGTTTTATGGTTGTGGTCTTTCTTCATCTGGGATCATGACGGAGCTACCCAAAGGGTCCTGCATGCCGGGCACACTGTCTGACCTCAAAATCTCAGAAACACCAGGGCCAAACTCTGGACCCACTCCCCTGACTCTGCTGCTGCTTTCAGACACTCCTGAAAAACACATAACATAACAATGTAAGAAAAATACTATTGTTTCCTTAAAATATATAAGGGAAATATTTTTGTTGAACCCTAAGATTTACCTAATAAATAAATATGTTAATAAATAAATATGTTAACTATAGTGATATATTGTGAATTACTACTATTATAGTCATTCACATTGAAATTTACTACAAAGAACATCTTTGTTGTTTGAAGAATATTACATTCCTCCTTGATTTAAAATCTGAAACCATTCAAAGTACCCCATGTGAAGTACCTATAGAGTTAGGGGTCCTAGCCCTGGCTAGGAAATACTACCCTGGCTAAGAAATACTGCTCTTTTACAGTGAAGAAATTCATACCTAAATCTTTGGAGGAATTGTCTGTGCCATAATGTAGACTGCTGTCCTTTTCAGCTGGAGTCTTGAAGATTTCCAGCTAAACAAAAACAGAAACGTGTATTTAGAAAACTTTCTTGTGATGAGTGAATAAGTATAATGTTTTACCTCAGTGCATACTGACTCTGAAAGGCGACTGCCACAAGCACTGTAACAAAAACAACAAACAAACAAAAACATTACTGAATCTATTACAAAAAGCATATATGTATGTCACTGCAAAAGTTAGAAAGAAAACTATAGTATTAAAAAAAAAACTGATATGTTACCTTGAATTGGGGGCTAAAGTAGGCTCACAGTCAATGGCGTGTGTTTGACTCTACAAAAAGACAAAAACAAATACATGGTTTAATTCATGCCTGCAATGTTCCACAGTAAAGCATTAAACGTATCTATAATTTATTTAGTTACAGGCATTTGTATTGCTCAAAGATCCCTTTAAAACATTCTTTCTGTGAGCTTATTTACAGCTTGACCTGTAACTTGGCTTGGTAGCGGATCATCCACTAGAAAGCTTACACAATGCATTTTTAAAACAACACTCTTCATATCCGTTTTATATCTCATTGGTGAGTGCATCTCTCACCTTTGCAGCTTTGTTATGATGTTTTATTTCATTGGCCTTTTCCACCTCAAGATCTTTGCTCCTGGCTTCTTTTTGTCGCTGTATCTTAATATAATCATATGTGCTCATCCCCTTGTACACTGCACAATAAATACAGATTTATATTACAACAATAACAGAACAAAAAATATTTTGATGGTATATACTTACACAGGTAAAGATGGAGGCCTAGTAGATGACTAAGCAGCAGCAGACTGGCGAGGCTCAATAAAACCGTAAAGAAGGCTACAACAAGGAGACCAGCCGATGTGGTCTTTAAAGGAGCTGCCGGCAAAAACACCAACCAGGTCTCGTTTGCCAACAAATCTATAAATAGCAGGGAAAATTGTGAGGAAAAAAACAAAATCTGCTATAATTTGACAAGATTTTTCTGTTGTTATTATAATTATATATAATACCTTATTATCATATACAATCCCTAATACCTACATACATATTTATTTATTTTATCTATTTCTTTAGCTACATTGTCCAAGTATATCCCTTACGGATTAATTAAGTTCTTCATAGTCTAAATAGATACATAAATACATTTTAGTTTTTCTTAAATATGTTTACTTACTATTGAATTGTGGAGCAGTCCTCAAATTGTCAGGATCCAGATAGTGCTGGATGAATATGAATAAAATTACTATAATCAACACTAGTGTGCCAAATGTAGCTGAACACAGAGCTATGAAAAAGCACCTAAGGAAAACGAACAAACAAACAAACAAACAAAACCCATTCAGTTAGTTGACATGTCTTGTCATGAGTATAATAAAGTTATGATCTATATATTATTTATATCCCAAAATGTTTAATAAAAATATTAGTAATGAGTCTGTTAAGTCTATCTTATTATAATCAATATAAATATAAATTAAAATACTGAATACTACTTATTTTATCCCTGTAGTGTACTTGCCAGTAGTTTCGGACACCCACACAGTTGTTCAGCCATTTACAGTGATGATCAAAATCTTGAACACATTTGTTGCACACACCACAATGTTTCACCTTTGGACCCCTATGAAAACAGTTATAATAACAAATGTTGATATTGTTAACTTCATCATGTGTTTACTATTTATGGGAGGATGTTATTGCTTTGCCTGGAATGTTCCACAGTAATGAGATGAATGTGTCTCTAACAAACAATCGTTGCAGGTGAGCTGTGTGGATGGTGCCCCCCCAATTACAGTTGGAATGCATGTTTATCGAGGTTTTATTGTTGTTGTTTTGTTAGGTTTTCCTTGTCGAGAAGGAGAGCTAGGGACAGGGGATATTCTGGGACAGTTGATTGTTTTCTATGAATGTTGGTCTGTCGGTCTATTATTGACCATTGTCTGTTTCACTGTTGGATTTTCTAACTTTCTGTTGGTTAAATCAATTATCTTGTTAAGCCCTAAGGGGCAATGGCTGTTGTGATTTGGGGTTTTACAAAGATTTACAAGAAATTGAATTAAATAAATGAAATACATCCATCCATTTTCTTAGCTTTTTATTTGCTTTACTTGGACCGAGTCATGGAGGCAACAGTCTGACCAGGGAGGCCCAGACTTCACTTTCCACACACTTCCTCCAGCTCTTCCGGGGGATCCTGAGATGTTCCCAGGCCAGCCCAGACACATAGTCCCTCCAGCGCATCCTGGGTCTTCCTTGGGGCTTGGAGGAGGCCCCGGGGAAGACCCAGGAGACGCAATGCAATATATTTAATACCATATAGTGGAATATTCCTGAAGCAATAACATCTCCATGGAGGCAAGCAGGTAGTGCACTCTCCACCAAAAAAGTGTCATAGTCCAGCTTTATATAAAACGTACACTTTGACATCACACAGGTAACAGTGCAGGTCTTGGATCACATGTGGCTGCTTTGTCCGATCAAACAGTGGCATTGGATTGGAGTAGGTCTGTTTAGCTCTCACACTCACATCGGCTGGGTCTATGATCTCTGCAGCTAAACGGGTGACAAAGTGTAAAACATAGGCTATTCCTACAATCTGAACACAGAGTTAAGGCATTAAATGAAATACAATCTTTTTCAGTCCTACAATGCTATGAATTAAAACAACATTCACATTGTTACATTATTACCATCACTTAAATTCATAACAGTAATCAGAATCATAAGGGTTATATTGTGCCTCGATATGGGTTTTTCTATTATCATATTGTTGATTTAGACTTTTTTTTTATTTTTTATTTATTTTATGTATTATTAAGTTGCAATTTCCTTACTCCACTGGAAGATTCAAACAAGACATACAGTAGACCTAAACTACAGTGTAGAGTCGAAACTGCTCCAAACACTATATTTTGAACTCAGGTATTTTTTTCTGTCATGTAAATTGCTTTTTGCCATTACAGAAGTTCATGTATAGGTTCATGTATAAACTAGTTGTAGTCATGTGGCATTGATCTCATGACAGTAGCCAATTGATAGTGTTTTGGACTCAGTGGCAACGACTCATGTCTGACCATACTACTAGAGCCCGTACTATGAGACCAAACAACAAATTCCTTGTCTATCTATACTATAAACAAACAATGTTCTTGCTTATCTGAAAGCCTCATTTCTGTTTGCATTCATAGACGACTAGGATTCACAGTGTGAAGGATACTGCATAGACAACATGGTTCCACGGCGGGGGCAGCAGAGGGATATAGATGCCAAAGCTCACAATGGCCATATAGATGAACACAAGCCAGCCTATGACTTGTACCACTTGAGGAGGCCAAGACCACCCATTCATGCGGGCGGGTTTGGAGGGCACCAGATCATTTCTACTGCCACCACTGCGTAAAGGAGCTGTGCGTTTTAACCTCTGATTAAAACAATTCATCTGGAAAAGAAAGACAAAGATTAGTGTCAAGTATTGTGCATAGGATTACTACTAGCTCTTTCAAGTGTTACTTGGACAGTTCTTCTAATTAAGTTTTACCCACTTTTTATCCACAGTGGAAATGATGTAATAAACTTTGAGCCCTGGTTTAGCCCTACATAGTCCTGTTATAGACATGGTTTAGATCTGGTAGTACGGAGAACCTTTTTTTTTTCTTTGTGGTACATGGTGTGAAAAGTTTGAGATCCACTGGCCTACCGTATACTGCTCAGCCTCCATGGCCTCATTTGACGGGGAAATGAGTTAGGAAAATTAGCAGGTAATGATAGTGACTTCTGTGTACTCATTTGAACTAGTCAGGGTATTGGCTGTGTTTTCAGTCAACAATATGATGTCACATTGAAAAGGCAATTTTCTGTTAATTATATTGCATTTTCATGAGACTTTTTCAAAAGGAAAATTCACAAATCATAGAACGGATCATCTTTATTAGTGGAGATTAAGGGTTCATTCACACTTGTTTGAGCCCACTTAAGCCCCGATCTTGACTTAAGTTAATTCTGGTGTAGCCCAGGTTTAGCTGCAGGTTTAGTCACAGGTTAGTCCTACATGACCTTAGAAACCTCATCTTTGTGAGATGTATATGGATTTCATTATGCGAATGATTGCATTTTCTATTGAATCTAACCTAAACAAACATATAGCAATTTTAGATTTAGATCACATGTTTAGCTTTTGGCAGTGAAGTGATCATGAAAGAAATGCATAGTACTATAGACTTCCTTCTGTAAGATATAATACACGCACAAATTAGTGACATTAGGTTGCCAAGGCAGCTTTTCCAAAATGATCTGCTTGCTGGTATAAACACAAACCAGCAATACTCAGCAATTTTAGTTGAAAACAAAAACACAGCAAAAGACCAACTATGACAGTCTTTAGAAATGTGTTATTGCAAAAGAAAACTTACTTTGCAGAACAATGCGTAATCACCCAGCCTTAGGGTTAATTACTCAGAATCCAAGCAGAGATTTCCAGTTTGAATACTCTTTATTGGCAGCCGAGCAGGTGCTTTGTTAAGTTTTTCAGTTTCCACATTGTTTGCTAAAATAATCACGTAAGTCCGTATACAGAAATGTCCCTCGAAGAGTATAAAAGCTTCTCCAGTGTCAGAAGCGTCAGAAGTCTGTAAGAGACGCGACAAGTTGATCAAATCAACTCGAGCTCGCGGAGCGCTATGGCAACTCGCTCTCAGCGCAGGCGCAGTATATGTGGCAAAGTTTTTTTTTTTTTTTTTTTTACAGCTGGGCTACTATCAGGCTGTATATGGCTACTACAGTGACTTATATTGATGCTTCCAAGCGTCGTTTTTAAATGTCCCCTCAACAGTGAGTACTTTGTTCTCGTGGCGGACAAGGAACTCCAAATTCAGAAATGTGATACTTCTGTTCTGCTTTTACAAAACTCCCACTATTCATTTACAACAAAGCCTGTTTCTCTAAAATATTGTCAGTCCTTCCCAACTGAATGACTTTTAATAATAATAATAATAATCAGTGCAGTTGTTATTGATAGTGGTTTGTTATTTATGTATATACAGTATAAATGTAGGGTGACCAGGTTTTCAAAATCAAAAACTGTGATAACCCCGGTAATAATACAACTGTAAAACGAGTGCATAATTAAGGAAAAATGTCAGGCACTCAGCTCAGTCATGGTTTATTCACGACTAACATGTGAGTCAGTATAGTCAAATTTTTAAGCATGGTTTTCTGTATTTTACATAAACAGATGACAATTTATGCCTCTCTTTACTGTTGGCAGATATCACATTTGTCAAAAATAGGGACACCTGGGATGTCTTGTATAAAACTGGGACAAATCAATGGTTTTGGCTAAATCTGCTGGGACATGGGACACAGGGCTCAAAACTGGGACTGTCCCGGGTAAATAGGGACATCTGGTCACCCTATATAAATGCTATTTATCAAGGCACACAGTTATGTAAAAATACAGACACAAGCCTTTTTATTCGGTCTTGTTTTACATACAAATTCACTATTACTTACACACAATCTGTACAAACATGTTTAGTTAATGAGCGGTAAAATTTAACAGTCCATAATCAGAGGTGTAATGATGTTAACACTGGAGTAACACCACAGCTCTGTGTGGTCAGCTGCCTGAACCCTCCGGCTCTGGAGACTGCAAAAACTCATAAGGGTCATGAACCAACTCAGACTGATCACCGACGCCCAGGTGTGAGGGGCTCCCTGCAGATACAGAAAACATCGAACCAATTCAGTGATAAATAGGACATTTTACACAGTCTGCAGTAAGGGGTGGGCGATATTCTCAAAAACTAATCTTAGAACCAAAACACACTTTCAATTTGATCACATCTCATGTAAACTTAGTATCTTTAAGTACTATTTGAAAGTAACTTTAGTTATTTGTATCTTCTGAAAGTTGTTTGGTTCAATACACCTGTCACTCTCTCAGAGTATTGCTGAAGCTGACCAACAAGAGATGTGGAGAAAATTACAGTGCTTTCACACTTGCTTATTCACCACAACAAAAGTGTGACTGGAAAAGGACTAAACCCAAAACTAAACCTGACCTAAACTGGGACTACACTAGGACTAGAACAGGAACAAACCAAGTTGACATCAGGACTAAGATTGGCTCACTCCAGGACCATAACAACAAATGTGAACACACCATTTGTGAATCATGATATTGACATGACGATTTTACCAAAATAGCATATTGTCACAGGAATGAGATCACAATTTGATTTATTTCACCCGGCCCTAGTTAGGAATATGCTCGATCCACTTACCAACATGATGCTGGTCTCGTTCTGACACATTGGAGAGAGAAGACAGGTTGGATGAGGGTCTGGATCCCACTCGGTCCACCTGAGCTTCTTGAAACTCCTGCAGGAGTTTGTCTGCATCATCAAAATGCTGCTGGCTGTCCTCATTACTTGGTTCCTTCTTTAATGTCTTACCTACAAAGTACAATGGATACATTTACATGGCCAGTAAAAATTTGGTAAGTAGTATAATATGATAACCCATTGTTTAGATTAGTAGGATTTGAATTTAGTTTTGCGTAAGCACAAAAATCTGCTTATCAAAAACACACACTAACATGTCTTAAGTAATTTAATAATTTGTGGTTGTTTTAGGAAGACAAAGTACAATTAAATTTAAAATGACTCTTTTTTTTTTATTCCTAGTCAAAAACCTGCACAGGAGTGAACAATCAGAAAGAAATCAGATATAATGGTTTACATGGCATTTCAGTATCTTATGAGTCCAGAAATGGGACTTTTGGTCTGCATGTAAACTGTTCAAAAGACAATCCAGGTCACCTCAATCATCTCTTGATGCTTACCCAATGAATTTAACATGGAAATATCCAGAGACATGTCAGGATAGTTCTTCATTGACATAAAATCAAGTACGGAACCACTGTCTCCCAAACCTGTGCCATCTGACATCTAACAAAGAAACATTTTTATTTGCATCATACTTCATTACAATTGTTCAAAACTGTCTTCAAAAAGATCTAATAATCAAATATAATACTTGCCTGGATATCACAAATGCTGCCTTTTGTTTCATCAGGTTTAAGTGTCATATTCCTTTTCTGAAATTTAGAGTTATTGTTAAGTTTATCATTACACAGACAAGGTCCTCAGTAAAAAAGGTTAAATAAACCACCTGTCTAATCTGATTCACAGCCTTAGTGTGATCTCCTGCCGTCATTTTGTCAAGAAGCCCATCCACCAAGCGCTTTGTTACACTGCCACATCCCTTGACAAACTCCTGTATACTGTGCAAAGGATGTTTAACCATAGGTAAACATGTGAACAGATTATATTATGTATTTGAAGCCATGAATAAAGAAAAATATTTAAAATACCTTAGTGCACACTGTACCCCAGTATCATCACCATAGGCAGAGTAGAGCATATCTATTTCATCAGGAGACAAGTCTGGGAATACAGAGTTCTTCTGCAGACTCTGTACATTGTAAGCACTGTTCAGAAATGTCACTGCAAAAAAGAAGACATTTTCAAATAACTGTTTATCATCAAAATCAACAAGTACCATAACTGGGCTCACCTTTATGCCTTCTGTCGTCTTTGAATCCCAATGTTGTTAACCCCGGGAGAAGCTTGTGTGACAGTGAGCTAAGGTCTATTTTGTGGACTTCATCTTCTGCAAATAAAATGTGTTCTTTAACATCTTGAAAATGAGTGCATAACAGTCAATATAAGCATCACCTGTGGCATCTGGATTAGCTTGATTAACAACCGTGTAGAGTAGAGATCCTTCTGCATCTTTTTGTAAATAGCCAATCTGAAATTACACAACAAATATGAACTTTGTATTCAAAATTCTTAAACTGAGTCAAGCACCAATAACACTTTATTACCTTGGAGTTGGGCATGTATCTGTTAATGCGATCTCGAGCTTCATCTGCTGCATGTTCTACCAGAGCCAGAACGTGCTCTTCTGCTGTGCTATCAGTTAAACTGCAGGCATTTCCCTCTGGCTCAAATAAGTAACTGAGAACAGAAATAAAGGGTGCTCATATGAAAAGCAAGCAAATAACTCATAAACATATACTCCCTCATAAAAGTTGCAGAGTGGAAATTTGCTTTGGAAAGAATTTATGGGAGATCTGGGAAATTTCAACGATAAAAAATATGTAAATGGACAGGAAATTTGGCAGAATACTGTACAATCCAAAACTGCAGCCTCTAAAGCCAAAGTACTACGTTGTTTTTGTTAAAATGTTATTTAGAATAACATTATTGGCTTCTTCAGTATCTGTCCAGGTGATGCCAAGTCCCTGTTGACTCCTATATTGCCTTGATTATTATTCCTATGAAACATTTCTAACTTTAAATATTTTTATACCTGATAACTTCTTTAGCTGGTTGCTTCCTTGACTTCTTTGCTGAGTCCACAGCTATAGGCATAATTTCTGGAGGAGGTAAATCATCTGTGAGGTCCTCATCTCCTAGAATGGCTGCCTGTTGGCTGAAGTCCATGTCTTGCATAAAGGACATGCTGCGCTTCAAAACCAATAACCGCTCCTGCAAACAGTGACAGTAATAGTAATGGCCTAGTTCAGCAGATGACAAATATATATACATATATACACATGGACAACAAGAAACTAATTTAATACAGTCTTAAAAGTGTTAAAGATGTGCCATGTAACTTCTCTGGTTGAGAGTCCCCCACATGTTTGTCTCCAAGGAGATGTAATTGCTTTGCCTGCATTATTCCACAATATGACATTACATCTGCATGGAGCCAAGCAGGTGATGAATCTGCGCCAAGTTACATGTCTGATCTGTGGAGAGGTGACCCTGCTCACTGTAATAATATATGTTTTTCTCTAACTTTAACTCTAATTGAATAAATACAACTACCAACCAATAAATACGAAATAGAGTCATTTAAATGTATAATGTGAAAAAAGCAATAAAATCTCCATGGAGATAAACGGATGCCATAAACCCCCACCAGAAAAGTTGCATAGTGCACCTTTAAGATAGATAAATAAGATACTTTAAGAATGAGAACTTACCTTGCTCATCATCTTGAATCCTGTGTGAAGCAACTTTTTGGCAGCTTTGTAGTAAACCGTCTCAGGTCGGTTGTACACCATAGCATTGTCGCACATGAGTTTAAAGTCAGCCTAAAGGATAAAGAACAGTTTTAACAATACCAGAGTTTTATGTCAGAGCCACTTGCTTTGATTTCTCACCTTGAACTCTGTTACAGTGTTGTACTCATTGTTTCGAATTTTGTCCTTCATGGTGCTAAAATCCATAGGATGCTTGATGATCATGGAATAACCCGGAGCAATGGCGTCCGTTACTGGAAAGGCAAAAAATCCGTGGGGGTCTTTCCTACAAAGAAACAAAACATTATTCTACAAAAGGCAAATAAAATTGTGCTAAACAACATGGTAATAGTCAGTCACCTTTGTAGCTGTCGTAGAAAGTGTTCCAGCAGCTGTTGTCTTGGAGTTGATTCACTCTCTGCTTTCAAAAGACAA